TGTCATAAAATGCAAACCCACCTCCAAATATTTTCTGCTTGTGTTGTTGGTAGAAGTAAGAAAAATAAAAATAAAATGCTTCAGAAAGTGTCAGTTCACATTAATTTGTCATTGACACTGGATATGGCTGCAGATTTGTTTTCTTGTTTCCTTCTAACTAGTATAATGGATGCAGAGACTCTCCTGCAAATGCAGTGGGCAGATGCTTGTTCTTATTTCGTGTGATTTTCCCTTGAGTTACTCTCTGAAGTGGCCTTGCTGATTGGTCTCTGGGGGTAGGAAGAGCGTGAACTCTGGCTGAGTGTTCAGGACCCATGTGGACTCTAGAGCCTGCAGCTCCATACCTGAACTCCGACCCGGGCACACCATGTCGGGGCTCTGTGGTGGTGTGGGCCTGAGTGGCTCTAGAGATGGGCTCTGGGTCTTTTTGCAGCTGGCTCTTTCATGGAGAGCCCTGTGCTCACCATAGTGAAAATGACAAGATGGCTTGCTGTGCGCCCTCTGGGTAGACTTTCCCAGAGTTGTACACTCCTCCTTGCTGCTCCGCTCCTTAGGCCATCCTAGGATGTCAGGGTTTGTGCCGCTCTCCATATTGCCCTACTCAACTTTCCTGCTCATTTTCAGTGGCTGCAGACTGACCTTTGCAGCTGTCTCCTGGCTGAACTTAGAGCTTTTATGTGCTTGTCCCCCTGTCCTGTGCCCGCCCACACTGCTGCTACCACACTCCCTTTACTAGGCCTGGCATAGTACCCCTGCCCAGCTTGAGAGCCTCTGCTCATGGCCTCCTGACCAGGGTATTTGCCACTTGACCTTCCATTCTGTTGTTTCTGCTAGGCGTTTCCTCTCCGCTCTGCCACTTCCCTTTGCAGAGCCTTTGATGCCCGAGGCCTGCAGTGGCACTGCCGAGCGAAGTGAGCGAGCTGCAGCGTGCGCTCCCATCTTCAAAGGAGGAAAGTCAGGCGCAATTAATCTTACGAAAACTTTGTTTATCTCATACACCCAGTATAAAAGCAAGGAATAAGGTCACCATACACTATGAAAACAAGGAGTAAGATCATTGACAGCCTTTTTTCCATACCACAGCTGTGGAACCCAGTGTGTACTTCGAGTTTACAGTGTCTCTCTTGAGGCCAGTAACATGGAAGGGACAGTAGAGGGCTCCAGGGCCATAGCCTGGCCCCACCCTAGGGCTTCACAGCCCTGCGTGTCAGCTCATAGTTCTGTTCCAGGTGCTCCAGCCTTTTCCATGTCTCTGACTGCTCTGTGAGGGCCTTGGCCCTTTGCTCCTGCCTCCCCCTGCCCATATCTTTGCAGTCTGCTATCTTTTCAAAATGCTTATCTAGATGAGGGTTTGCCCCAGTGAGAGCTCAGAACCAATGAAGAGGTTCTGGCTAACTAACAGGACCCTCCCGCTTAGCACTGGCTCACTAACAGGACTCTGCTGCCTAGCACTGGCTCACTAACAGGAATCTGTCTTTTTTTTTTTTCAGCAGATGTTTTGTGAAATAATAACGTAACCTTCTTGGTGTAGAGGCTAAGCTGTGTAAAGTTTATTTTGTTTGGTTTTGACACAGTCTTACCAGGTATCCCTACCTGGCCTGGAGCTCGCTAGGTAAGCCAGCCACCGTGCCCCCCTTCTGTCTGTGAAAATTTTATTCTTGTGTTTATTGAGTAAAATAGTTCAGGTGGTTTTTTTTTTTTTTTTGAGAGATAGGCAAGGACACTTTCTGTTCTCTTTCTTTATTACGCTCAAACTAGTAATAACGTAGAACAACTGGGCACGGTTCTCTGGTAATGGGCTTGTGTTTCCCACTGGGCTGTGACATCTGAGCTAGACTGCCACTCTGTTGAGGGAAGCTTTGCCAGTGGCCATGTTGGGCTGCTCTTTTCAGGCCTTGCTATGTGTGCACAGGCCAGGGGATGCCTGCCCGTTTTGGAGCCTCTCAGGAGCACCATGCTACTGTCATGGGCTCCTGAGCTCCTGAATCTGTTCCCTCAGAGCTGTTCCCATGTCTTCTCAGCGAGCTCTGTGCCAGCCTCCCAGCCTTGCCCGCTGGCTTCTACCAGGTTAAGAGGCTTTTCTTCGCCATCCTCTGGGAGACTGACATGGCTAGGACATCCCATTTCCAGCACTTTGTTTTCCTTTCCTGGAGCACTTTTTCTACAGGTATTTTCATCATCACGTGTCTACCATGTAGAAAGAGGTGGCAGTTTTGACGCTGTGTGAATTGTGACATGGGTTGCGTTCAGTGCTGAGTGAGTATATGAATGGATACAACTTCAGATAAGTTAGGTAACCTTTGAACTTCTCTTTCTTGATGGGCCATACTTTCTGATAGGAAAAATTGACCCTGGTGGACTAATTCGTTACAGTGTCCGTGGGAGGCAGTTAGGCTGTACCTCCAAAAAGCTTGCGAAGCTTGTATCCCTTTGACCTGTATGTGTACTACACATACTTGTGGAAACTGCCTGGGGCTCAGGGGCGCTCGTCGCCACATCAATACTTTAGTGGGGGCCTTCTAGCACCAGCTCTCTGTCCGTGTGATCCAGTTCTTGTAACTTTATAGAGAAGACTTTCTGAAATCCAGTTACATCATTGACCGGGAAAGCAGAGGTGAGAGCTGATGCTTGCGCTCTGTCTGGCCGTTGATACAGGCAGGCATTCTGGATAGATGAGGTAATCCCAGTGACCGGGAGGCAGCGGGTTCTGAGTGCGGGAGAGAGTCCAAGTGAGGCTTTCTGCCGTCGCCTGCACAGGAATTGTGAGTGCCCTGACTGTTGACGGGTTGTTCGGAGCATTAGAGAGCGGGTGTAAAGCCTCCTGCCAATGCCTGGCACCCAGAAGAGTTCCTCAGGTTGCAAGTGAGGCTTGCCTCTTGTTAGGCCACACTCCTTTGGGGTTTGGTCTGTCATGGCTCACACTGATGAGCCCGGCACCCAGGGCCAGAGGGTAACGGAAGACCTGTGCACTGTGGTAGTTCTGCACGTGTGCAGCTTCTCTGTCGGCTCCAGCACTAATTGGCTGAGGGTGGTTGTAGTGCCCTGTCAGTGAGTGAGGGAGACCGCTCTGCGCTGTGTCTGCTCACCGCGGGAGCAGCTACACTGAGCGTGCTGTTGCTGCTGTCTGTACTTCACCACCGCACAGCAGCGCTTTCTTTCCTGCCAGGATTACATTTTTTTGAGTTACAGTGGAATTTTTCTGTTGTAGGTAAAAATTTACTCCTAATCATTCTGCTAGAAGCTTTCATGACTTTGAAATTTTCCACATGTAATGCAGTAATAGTGATTGGGAAAAACTGGACTAGGATCATCCAGCAGTCTGGCTCAACCCTGAGTTACCTGATAAAGCCCTTGACAGGACACCCCTAGAACATGGCCACCTGCCATAGTCATGTCCCTGTGCTCAGAGGGAGGGAGCGCTGGGGCAGCCTGGACTCGGAGGACACGGAGTCCTTAGCACTGAGCCTTCCATGAAGGCTGGGGGTCTCTTCATTTCTGTCCTCTCCTAACACCCTTCCTCCAGAGGCTGTGATCTAGCTGTGAGAATTAGCTGATCTGCTAAGAAAGTATGATGGTCTAATGGAAGTCCTGCCGAACCGTGCTGTGCGTTTAGGCAACTGACCTTAGCATAAGGCCTTTGCTAAGTCACCAAGCAGGAAATGAGAGTCAGTGACAGTGTCCCCAAGGGCAGTACTTACTGGTCTAAGGTGCCAGTCATGTTTTTCTGTGCCAGTGAGCAGTGGTAGCTGGTGCTCTTTTCCCAAATCCAAGAACTTGAACCTCCCGGCATCCGTGCTGTGAGCCATTGAGGCGTCCATGTTTCCCTGTCAGTAATTTGTTAGCAGTCCATTTCTTGCGAGGTCTAATTTTTTTGCTTTTCCGTCCTGTCCTTTGTTATTGTTACTTCTGTTGTTGCCAGTGCTGTATATGAAACCCAGATCCCCAGGCAGGCTACACCATTTCATTTCTATCATTTCCTATGGAAGAACCACCTGTTGCTGATACATGGCCACCAGACCAGTTGGGCAGATGGCTGTTGCCCAAGTCCATACCAGTGTGCCCTGATTGCTCTCAGAGGTTCATGTTGGGGCACTCCAACCAGTTCGGTAAAGTGGTAGCGCTTACGCCCTTGGGGCTGTCCAGGTAAAGAGTGTAGTGTAACAGAAGTATTTGTCAGAAGGAGTTCTGAGGCAGGAGCAGGAACTTGTGATTTCTGGTATGTAACTTGAAGAGTACAGCCTGTGGAGGATGTGTGCCCTGGCAAGGCCCATAGTGGGGTCTGCACAGGGAAGGGCACCCCTCCCCTCTTCTTCCTGTCTGAGTGGCGCTCATGTCTTGCTTTATCCATTTGGTCTTAAAGACAAGACACTGACACAAGTAGTTAAAGAGGCAGCTAGGCCAGTGGACAGAGGTGAGCATGGAGCAGCATGAAAGCGCTGGAGCGCAGACTCCCGCGCCAGCACCACCTCGGTCCAGAGAAAACTGGAGGAGACGTGGGTTAAGATACCCCCCAGGCCAGTGTGTGGTGTGAGTGAAGCCACGGTGAACCAGGGCTGCATCCTGCCTGCCCAGGAAGTATGTTTTCACGTCCTATGTTCTGCTGGTCACAGGCTGCAGGTGACTCCCTGCCCGGGAACAGCCACAAAAGGGGCAGTGTAGTCAGCCATGGCCTGCAGTGCCAAAGGCAGAGAAGGCTGTGAGGACCAAAACTTGTCCTGGGAGTCCTCGTAGAGAGGAAGCCGCCCACACTGGGACCTGGCAGCTATTTTATCAAACGACTGACACCCTCAGGAAAAGACAGTGGCCTGGCACCCAAGTGCAATCCTAGAATGGGGCCACATGCTCTCTGCTGGCCTGGCTGACACAGGATAAATGTGGAGTGCCTGGATGGATTTCTTGTCTTCTTGCCGAGAAGCAGACAATTTTTCTTTGTTTTCTTTTCTGGATAAGTAGACCTTAACTGCTCCGTTGTGATAACTTGTTCTCCTTTGTCTTCACAGAGACTAATAGACAAGTCACGCGTAACCTGTGTCAAATGGGTTCCTGGTTCGGAAAGCCTTTTCCTAGTAGCCCATTCAAGTGGGAACATGTACTTATATAATGTGGAGCACACTTGTGGCACCACAGCCCCCCACTACCAGCTCCTGAAGCAGGGAGAGAGCTTTGCCGTGCACACTTGCAAAAGCAAATCCACGAGGAACCCTCTCCTTAAGTGGACGGTTGGCGAGGGGGCCCTCAACGAGTTTGCTTTCTCCCCAGATGGCAAGTTCTTAGCGTGTGTGAGCCAGGACGGGTTTCTGCGCGTGTTCAACTTTGACTCAGTGGAGCTGCACGGTACAATGAAAAGCTACTTTGGGGGCTTGCTGTGTGTGTGCTGGAGCCCAGATGGCAAGTACCTTGTGACAGGTGGAGAGGACGACTTGGTGACAGTCTGGTCCTTTCTAGACTGCCGAGTAATAGCTAGAGGCCATGGGCACAGGTCCTGGGTCAGTGTTGTAGCATTTGACCCCTATACTACTAGCGTAGAGGAAAGTGACCCTATGGAGTTCAGCGGCAGTGACGAGGACTTCCAGGACCTTCTTCATTTTGGCAGAGATCGCGCGAACAGTACACAGTCTAGGCTGTCCAAACGGAACTCTACAGACAGCCGCCCTGTAAGTGTTACGTATCGGTTTGGTTCCGTGGGCCAGGACACACAGCTGTGTTTATGGGACCTTACAGAAGACATCCTTTTCCCCCACCAACCCCTCTCAAGAGCAAGGACACATACAAATGTTATGAATGCCACAAGTCCGCCTGCCGGAAGCAATGGGAACAGTGTCACTACGCCTGGAAACTCTGTTCCCCCTCCATTGCCACGGTCCAATAGCCTTCCACATTCAGCAGTCTCCAATGCTGGTAGCAAAAGCAGCGTCATGGACGGGGCCATAGCCTCTGGGGTCAGCAAGTTTGCAACTCTGTCGCTACATGACCGGAAGGAGAGACACCACGAGAAAGACCATAAACGAAATCATAGTATGGGACACATTTCCAGCAAGAGCAGTGACAAACTGAATCTAGTTACTAAAGCCAAAACGGACCCTGCTAAAACTCTGGGAACATCCCTGTGTCCGAGGATGGAAGATGTTCCCTTGTTAGAGCCGCTGATCTGTAAAAAGATAGCTCATGAAAGACTGACTGTATTGGTTTTTCTCGAAGACTGTATAGTCACTGCTTGTCAGGAGGGATTTATTTGCACATGGGCAAGGCCTGGTAAAGTGGTAAGTTTTAATCCTTAATGCTGCACCAGATCTAGAACTTAACTAGGTAGTGCTTTTTTTCTTGTGGGAGGGGGGATGTACAATGAATGTGAATGACACTTCTTAATGTAAATCTAAATGCATCAGAGCCATAATTTTGGATACTGCATGCCATGTAATTCTGAATCATTTGATAATTCACCTTAGCGCATTTAAAAATATATAATCAGACTAATTGCCAGCCACGCCAGTCATCCCTCTGGGAATGCAGAGTCCTGAAGTTAGCGTTCCTGTGTCAGACTAGTTCAGTTTTAGGGAAATCATGGGAGTGTGCAGAAATAATGACATTAAAATGCTAAAGTCAAAATTCATTCTTTAACTGGGATATTTTTACGTAGCGACTCAGCTAGATTGTCGTACACCTGGTCAGTGTATGTTCAGTGCAGATGGCCGCTAATTATTATTTATAGTCCAACTTTTTATCTTAAATCATAAAATGTTTAGGAATCTATGAAATTTAACTTAGGAACAAAGCGTTCATCAGGGTTGATTGATATTATTTTTACATTGTCTGGCAATCCACAGAAAGAGAAGAGCCTTAATTTTTAAAACCCATTTTAGTCATTTTATGACAATTAAAATTGTTTAATAAACATCTTTTTTCAAAGAAGCAGTTTGTAGAACTCTGATTGAAATTGTGCACTAAAATTTCATCCCAGAGCCTGGGCAGTTAAGATGCTGTGGCCAAGGACGCCGCGGCTTTCAGAAGGGCCTCTTGCCACATCAGCTAAGACTTGTGTGTTAGACGCGCAGAGCTTACGGGGTTTTTTTCCCCCAACAGAGGAAAGGAGGTTGTATCTGTTTTGCTGTATTGTGGGGTGGTGTGCTTTGTTTGGGTTAGGAAGGTGTGGCTGGGAGTCAAGGAAAGGCCCCTTGGTGTGCTTTGTGTGGACTGTTAGGTGTCCAGGCTGCAGGGTTCCTCCTGACATGGCGCTCGCGTGGGTTCAGTTCCCCAGAGAGAAAGCACCAAGGCACAGGTTCACACGCACAGACAGACAGTCACACACACACACACACACACACACACACACACACACACACACACACCCTTTCGTTTTTGTATGGTAGCCATGAGTCCAGGAGGATTCTTGGAGACAGCGCCCCAAGTGCCATCCCTCCCTTGGCCTGTGTCCCCTCAGGAGCCATGCTGTGTGGACTGCCCCTGTGGCCGGAAGGGTGGGGGACTGCGCTGTTCTTCCAACTCCTTCGGTCCTGCTCAGCTGCTCAAGGAGTTTCTTTTCAAACTCTAGTTTTCACAGTGGGAGATAATTCTTTGAACTGGGTATTTTGTGTCAAAATGATAGTTAATTGTTAATTTATTTAGAATATTTAGGATTATTTTTCGGTCTTGTGCGCATTTGTAATTAAATACAGCAACAGTGATCATTTGTATTGGCTGAGCAGTGACTATGGCTCAATGACCAAGACTTGGCAAGGCTTTTGTGTCTCCGAAGTGTCGAGACTCTGGCAGACAGTAGCCAGCTACCTGGCTTCCCTCTCCAGAAAGCCAGGCCAACGTGTTCATGGCTGGGTCCATGCCCTGTCCCTACCCTGCTCCTTCTCAAAAGGGGCTGCTGTTTAATGTGATAGCCACAGCAATGTGCTGCCCATGAGATATGACCCGGGGCCAGGCCTTCCGTGTCCCCGAGCAGCTCTTCATAAGGGTGCTCACGCCCCATCTGCCGCAGACAACGCTCCTTTGTTGGTAGGGTCAGCTGATCTGAGGCAGCAAAGGCTGCTGCCCTGTGGCCAGGTTAGAAGTGAACGCTCCATGTACAGTTTCCAAAATTCACTTTCAAATGCTTCCGAGACATTGAGTATGCAGTTTCCAAATTCAACACTTTGTGTCTGGCCTGAATACAGGGTGGCCAGTCACAGGTAAGTAAGGGTTACGGTGACGCTTACGGCGACCTCTCCGTTTGAGGGTGTCTTCTCTGGCAGGACCACTGCATGTGCGCTTGTGGACTCAGCGCAGACCATGGGCGCTTACACACCCCAGCCCATCTGCTGGCGGCAAAGGGAATTGCTGGGGTGCTGGGAATGGTGGGGGCCAGAACAAGGGTGGATGCTATTGTTTCCTTTGAAGGGAAAAAAAAAGATGAAGACCTGTGAATTCTTGTCTGCTTCCCCATAATAATGACACAATTTGTGATTTGGGGTTTGATCATAATCTCTTCCAACTTCTGCTAAGTGTTGGGTCCTTAATGTTTAACTGGAACCCTGTTGGGGCCCTTGCGGTGTCTCTTGCCCTCCCTCCTGGCTCCTCTGCCAGGTTCAGGACTGGGAAGAGCCCAGGTCAGCTCTAGAGGGCTGTTTTAACTGCATGGCCTGGCCCAGGCTGGCCCCTGCATGCAGGCCGATGCTGTTCCAGGCCCACTCTGCCCCCCTGACTGACTCCTGCCCCCCTTTCTTTGACAGCCGGCAGAGCAGTTCTGCAGGCAGGAGGACAGAGTGCAAGGTGTTCTCCAAGACCAGAACTAAAGGTGCGGCAGCTCCAGAAGAGGGTTCTGGAGGGTGGGGACTCCCTTCCTCCCTGTGCCCTGCAGGCAGAGGTGCTGGGGTGTCATGGGATTGTAGCAGTGTGTCATGGGGGTTCCTAATCGTCAAAGGATTCGGGATAGAACCGTTGGGCTTCCACAGTAGCCACCCAGAGAAATTTGGGGCACATGTTTTTAGTGTTCTCAACAAACTTTGAGCTTCCTCATCAAAAGCTCCCAGAGCCTTTTCATGAGCAAGAATGTCTTTAGTAGCTAGCCCTGAAATAAAACAGCTTTTGGCAAGAAGAGGCTGTTACAGGCAGATGTCTAGTCTACATGGTGTAGCCCAGAGTCCTGCCGGAGTCTGGTGAGGGCACCGCTGGACAGGTGGAGGCTGCTGCCTGTCCTGCTTACCCACCACAGGCCACCAGAAGCCAGCTGCCCTGGAGCTATGGTGAATCAGCCCCCGAGCCCTTCCCCACCTTTCTCTTTCTGTGCATGTGGTGCCAGGGATTGAGCCAAAGGACTCGACGCTTGCAGGCAGACACTGCACTTCTGAGCCACATCCCAGCCCTCTGCAGAGGCTTAGAAGCTGTGCCCTTCTTTTAAAAGCAATGCCCAGAGAGGTTGGGCAGCACCCGCATCCAGGACCTGTGGACTCCAAATGAACCCACACAGGGTAAAGAGCGTTAAGTTTTTCTGTTGTGATGATTGAGTTTGGGAGTGTTTTGAGACCCACTAAGGGCAGGGTGAAGGGAGAGTGCCGTTAGAAAGGCCCAGAGGTGGAGAGGAAAAGAAGCCTCAGCGTGTCATTCTGCATTAGGTGTGACAAGGCCTGCAACACCCCAGTTTCTGTGAGGTGTACCCACACACACCCAGGTGGTGGCCAGTAGTCACCTCCAGTGTTTTTCTTAAACTGCCTACAGCACGGCCGCCCCTCCATGTCCTGTGATGCATTCTGAATTTTTAATAAGCCCTAACAATCTCAGTTTGTGCTAAAATTAGTGAGCCGGCCTTGGCACATGTGTGCACCTGTGTGCAAGGCCCTCTCACTCTGCTGGAGGGAGATGTCTGTCTTTATTGAGCAAGCTCAAAGTGTGAGGAGCAAGACAGAAGACACAGAGGGCCAGAAAAGGATGCTGTGGAAACCCAAATGTCACTGTCAAACTGTCTGACTCTCTACCTGCGAGACTAGGAGCAGGGTTGAGTGGCTGATCTTGAATGTGGGCTGTGCTGTGGCAGTCATGGCTGAAAGGGTCCACGGCCCCTTATGCCTCTTGGCTCAGGGCCAGTTGTACTACTGAGGCGTGTGTGCCCACTCTTGAGGTCCCCTCCCCCACCCATGGAGCCCCATGCGCTTCTCTGGGCAGGCCTGATAGTGATTTGAAATCAGAGCCTCTGGTTGCAGTTTGGTTGCTAAGGCTGAACTGCCCACTCTCCTGGAAAAGCATGGGGAGCCACCACACCCACCAGGCCCTGTTTCTGTCAGAGCATGCTGTTTGCCTTGGGCTGACTGGACCACCACAACCTGGCTTAGGTTAACAAGGTGCTCATCAAAGTGCTATGTGGTGTCTGTCCAAGGGAGAGGAGATGTCAGTGTGGCATTGGTGAAGCCTGTGGCTCGTTGTGGAAAAGCACTTGTATTCAACTGTTACCTTGAGACTCAGATCCCAGGTTCAATTGTAAGAGCCCGCTCTTCTCGTGGAGCAACTGTCCCCACCGATGCCGAGTTTTCCATTCATGCTGCAATTGTTACATTATCCTTATGTCATGGTTCAATTCCTGACTATTGAGTTAAAAGTGTGAAAATCCTGCATTTTAACTTCTGTGTACGTGGGTTTTAAAGATTGTTATGAGGTGACTTTGTATAAAGTTGTATGGGTATTTCTCTCCAGTGAAAGTCAAGGTAAAACATGTGTTCCTTTCTTACATTTTCATCTGCTCTCTTCACAACTTGAATAAATTTCATGAAGAGCCCTCCTGCTGTGAAATGCCAGGCAACTGAGCTCCTAATGTTGCAATAACTAATGAAGCTTGAATATCAGTATTGTTACTTGATTCTCAGAACCATGTTTGTGTTTCATTGCTTTGGTTTTAGCTGTCCCCTTGTCACTGTCGCAGCAAAGGACCGCAGACTTGACATTCTGAAGCGCTGGAGGCTGTCCTCTGTATATTGACATTGAATAAACGTGTGAATGCATCGCAAGTGCAGATAGTTTTCAGTAGTCATTTTCACATTCAGCTTTATGAAAAAGGGTCTCAGTGAGCCAAAAAAGAAAAGCTGTCAAGTACGGCAAAATTAAGAACCTTGTTAATGTTTATAAAATAACCTTGGAGACTCTCCCGACTGTGCGCCTCAGTCAGCTTACTACATGAAATGCTGACTGAACACGAGAGGCTGCTCTGAAAGAGGCCCTGGCACTCTGCATGCAAAAAGGTTTCAGTGTGATATGAATGTTAACTCTCTGAAGGTAGCTGGGCCACCAGCTGGCTCTGCAGCCACCTAGCCAGCCTAGCGGGCCGAGGGCACTGCGGGCCTCGGTAGGAGCTCTTTCCCCTCAGCCAGCTTCCCACCTCACCCTGCTGAGCTTCTGCGCCACTGGGCTGGGAGGATCTGCCATGCAGATTGCCCTGCTCTGAGCACAACTGCGCTGGTCACCTCTGGCTGCAAATGCTTCCATGCAAGCACTGCGATGGAGAGTGTAAACCTACGGGGCCCTGCCAGAGCGACAAGGTCAGAGTGAGCCGGCCCAGGCTGCCCCTCCTCAGGCCTATGGTGCTCCCACTCACCTGTCGTCAGCTCCTTTCCTGAGACACTGGTCTCTTGCTTAGCCGCCTCTCCTCCAGGCTGGCGGTCTGCCAGCCCTATGCTCTGCCTCTCAGCCCTCATAGACAGAGCCAGGGTGTTTCCTTACTGCGTGGCTTAGTGGGTACAGGTTGGGTTGGCTGTGAGTGCTGCAAAGCAGGAGAGATGTTCAAACCTGTAGCTCAAAGTGACCTCCTAACCTCCTGCCATGAGAGCAGCATGGGGCTTTTTGAAGTCCTAAAAGACAGGTTAACAGCATTTTCAATGTTGTTTAAAGAAAACCATAATTTGACTTTTGGAGAAAAATAGTTATGTCACCCTTGTCCCTCCATGTGGGGCTACTGCATTTTAGTTAGTGGGTCTGTAGCAGCAGCTCTGTCTCCGGTGGGGCTGCACCTCTGCAACCAGCCTCTCCTTTAGGGTGGGCTCTGGGCAGCTTCTTGGATGAGCTGGATTTAGGACCATCTTTTCCACTGAGGCAGACCTCAAGGTCCAGCAGGTCACAGGATAAGGGCCTTAGCTGACAAATATTTCTGTTAGTGCACAACCTCGGAGAAGCTTTCAGCTGCTTGAACCTCTGTTTCTCGATCCTTCTCCAGATGTCTGTCTCCCCTTTTTCATCAGAGACCAGGTTGTGTAGCCCCTCTGTGTCACCTTCAAGGTGGCCTGTCAGTGGTAAGTTAAGGCTGGCCAAGTGACAAGGCCCACAACCCAGCAGGAGCCAGGTCCCAGGCTGCTGGACACAGACACTGTGAGCTTCCTAACCCCATATCACTGAGTCTGGGTACTCCGACCTCTTCCATGCCCCTTACACAGAACTGTGGCTTTCTGATCAGGTTTTCTCTGGTCTTTATATAGGTGTACATAATAAGAGGATGGATTCTTAAGCTCAGACAGATTAGAACACACCTAGGGCTAGGAGCATGTGTAGGTGTTAGATGATACTCATTGTCTGTGCCCCTTCTGAAGAGGCACTGCCCTCCACCTGAGTACAGCGACTGGTGCGACGTAGGGGCCTCAGGGCCAGCTGTCCCTCTAAGCTCAGACAGTGTAGAATACACTGGGTACCTTTCTCACAGCTCTTGGGGTGTATGTGTGGGGGGCTCAGTCTGCCTGGCTGGTCTGTGTTACTTTGTTTGGAGCTGAGGGACTGAATGGCTTTGAGCAGCGAGGTGGGTGAGAGGTGGCTTGCCATGCAGCCCCAGCTCAAGGTTTCCTTCACGCCCCAGGGCTGTTGGACTCAGATCCAGAAAGGGCAGCCTTCCCACAGCTCAGAGTTGGAGGCTGGTGTGGGCCCATGAGAACTACAGGACCTGTTCAACCTTGAATAATACAGCGTCTAGCTAATTATACTCCATCTCAGCAAGCATCCACCAGGGAAGGAAAAAAATGTTCTTTGGTTGTAGTGGCTTTACCTGAAGTGTTTTGTTGTGTAATTTTGAAATGAGATATCCAGCAATGTTGACAACTTTGGTGAGACCAGAAGAGCTCACTAACTGTTAGGTTCAAGAGTTGTTTCTGTCCAGGGGCTAGGGGACATTGTTCAGATTCTCTGCTGGAGAGACCTCTTGCTTGATTTTGTGGTGCCTGTAGGTACTATGCTGATTTTGGTGTGCACACCCGGCAGGCACACAGGTGTTCTTCTTGTGTGCTGGGTCTGAGCCCAGGTCCTAATCTTGACTCATCTGCCCCCAGTCGAAGGAATCGGGTTGCTGAAGTAAAACAGAAATGTCTCCTCACCCCCCCCCCCCCCCCCGAGGGAATTGGGTGGGGAGCTGCAGAGCCTCCATGCTTTAAGCATGGGCTAATTGTGACAGGCTAGGGTGTAGCTTGATGGAACTCAACTATACCCCTCAAGAGTATATTTTACATTGTCTTTCTTTAGGGGTACTGAGTTTTCATACAGGGTCTCCTAGAGCCCTGGCTGGCAGCCTGAGGGTGACCCTGAGGACTTGATCCTCCTGCCTCCACCTCTCTGGTGCTAGGATTAGAGGCCTGTACCACCACACCCAGCTGCACATTTCCTTTTGAATGTCATGCCCCCGATGTTCATTATGCGGAGCTGCATCTCTCAGTAAGCAAGTGTTTGGGGTCACTCTTCTAAGGTCTAGTGACAAAGCTAGGCAGTCTTCACCTGAGTGCTTCTGCTGGGCAGGTGCTGACCCAGTCTGACCCTGCTGAGGCCTTTCCTCTTCCACACATTTTTCAGTTTCTGGCCTGGGCTGGCTTCACACACTCTTCCAGGAATGTGAAACACCTGAGCATGCCAGATTCCTGCCAGCCTAGGGCCCCAGCAAGCCAGTGGACTCAGAAGCCTGTGGCCACAGGGCCAGCAACCCGGAGGCCAGATCCATTGGTCCTTATTTGAGCTGTTCCTCTACCTGGTGGAGGCCCCCAGACCACGGCCAGGCTGACATTGCAGAAGTGAACCCCTACGACCAGAGCCTGAGTCCCTAACATTTGCATGGGAATTACACAGTTGGAAGGATGGTAGATGGAACCTGTTGCTTCAGGAGACGGAAGTTTGTTCACCTTGGCTTAGTGGCAAGGACGGTGCACACGGTGGTGAGTCCTTAAGGACTAGCTCTCCTTGGCTCTTGACCACAGACAATTAGGACCATGAGCATTTGACTCGGGGCCGGGAGTTGTGGTGGCCTGTGGCCCACAGAGGGGTGACCTAACAAGACAGATTAAGTGAAAGCAGTGTGCATCCACTGTTACTAGCAGCCTGGAGTCCTGGTTGCCCATGTTTGGAAACTCCTCATCCTCAGAATTGTAAAGAAAGGACTGCAGAGGCCACCAGAGTGGGCACATCAAACAAGGGAGGTAGATGGGATCGACAGACTTGACTCCATGGCAGTTCTCAGTCACCTGGCCACAGAGGACCAAAGATGGGGCCTGTCCAAGCTGAAACATGCTCTGCTGAAAGAACCGCACCTCAGTGGCTTTCATACACTTGGCTTTAGAAAGAAAAGTCAGCATTCTGATTATACCCTGTAATAAGTTTGGATATGTTGAGTTAAAGTTTGCTCCCCCTGGTTTTGAAATCATTAATTACTGTTTGAAGATTGTGCATCTCCTCTGTGGCTGGCCATGGCCAGAGGCAGTACCCAGAGTGACAAGGCAGGCCACCCCTGTCTGCAGTGCTGCCTGGGCACAGAGGGTTGGTCAGGTGCCGAGGAGGCTGCTGCATGAGTGCTGTTGTGCCCTGTGCTTGCTTGCCTCGGCCCTCCCCCACTGGCTTGCGTTTGTAAAGGGTGAGGAACCTGGCTCTTTGCTGCACTGTCTGAACAGGGATCTGAGAGGATAAGAGCTCCTACAGATGCAAAGCAGGGGAAGCTGCCATAGTCCATCTGTTCTTGCCTGTTGGTTTTATCTAGACCAGTAAGTAGATTTCAGCTCTGAGGTCAGAAATTACAGGCCAAGTCGGGCGTGGTGGCGCAGGCCTTTAGTCCCAGCACTCAGGGAGGCAGAGGCAGGTGAATTGCGTTGAGTTTGAGGCTAGCCTAATCTACAAAGCAAGTCCAGGACACAGAAAAACCCTGTCTGGAACAACAACAAAATAAAACCACCACCACCAACAAAAAACACTACAGGCCAAATGCCTTGCAGTGGGCCAGCTGGTTCCTAGCTCCCTCCAACAAGGTGGGTGAAGCTGAGGACATTTAACAACTGTCTGCACTGAAAGTCTGTGAAAATGTAGCAGTGTTTATTTAGCGTTACATGTTGTCATTTGTAAATAATACTCAAGTACATGATTCTTTGGGACAGCTAAGGGGTGTTTGATTCTGTGGAGTCCAGGTTTTAGTTCTACTGCTTCAGTACTGTAACCTTAAGATTCCTGAGAAGTGAGTGCCAATCTGAAGTGACTGCCCACAGCCAGTAGCCAGTGCTAAGGAAGGCGCTCCCTTGGCCCTGAGGGCAGCCCTCAGGGCACCCGGAGCTCACCCAAGCTCACCTTCGCTCCGCTGGGGATAGGCGCTCTTGGGCTTGCTGTGGTAGACAGTGTGCCAGCACCTCCTCCCTTCCCTTTTGCAGCGGCAGGACATAGTCACTGGAGGTCACCAGAGCTAGGGGTGCTGCCTCAGCGCCCTCAACAAGCAGGCACACCCCAGGAGGAACCTGACAAACGTGAGGTGGAGCTGGTGACCCTGTCTGAAGCCACAGTGTCTGAGTCACACTGTCCTAAAGGCTGGGGTGTCCTCAGAAAACAGCTCCACCTTCCTGTAACTGGTGTTGAGGCAGGAGCTGCAGAAGCTCGCTCCAGGCCCGGTACAGTGCCCTGAGAGGTGTTAGGTAGGTGGACCAGGGGAGTGTGCTAGGCCTGGCTTCCAGCCCTTGGAAAGGCATGCGAGCCCGTGAGAATGCTGGCGAAGGGTGAGCCGGGCTCTGCGCTGCCCTGTGTCTTGCTGGATTAATGTAAACTGCTTTGTTTGCAGGGCTTGTTGTCATCCCCAAACCAAGCCAGTTCTCCAGGTGGGACTATAGTGTAGCAGCTGCAGTGCTGCTCCCAGACTCCCCCGACACGAGTGGACTGAGGGAGTGACAGACGACACCGGAGCCAGGAGCTGCGCTGGAGCCACAAGCAGGCGGCAGGCAGCCCGGCCTGCAGGGCTGTGTGGAGCTGCTAACCCAAAGAGTTGTTTCCATTTTTAAGTCAGTCTGCTGGGGCTGCAGTAAAAAATGAGGAATGGAGTTTTCTTGCTTTTTACTCTAAAATTCAATGTAACTAAATCCCATATAATATATATATATATACACACACACACACACACATATATACATAGTGTAAAGTAAATCGTTTCTTGGACAAGAGACCTTAATTCAGCTGTTTTAAATAGCACTTGGCTCTGGTTTTGCACTGATCTACTTTATACTTCAGGTGGTCATTAGCAGCCGGGGACACACTCATGAAGACGGCTGCCACCTTCTGACCTAAACACGTGATTCAGAAAGACAGATGCTGCAATCATAGATTTAAAAAAGTTGTTTGCACTTAAAATAGTTTAATGCTAATAGAAAATGGCGTTGACTAGGGTAGCGGACGCCCAGCCACCGCAGTGTGGAGTGGAGGCGCCCTTCTTATCTGTTAACATTTATTTTATACTGTTGTTTCCAATGCAATCAGTCTGTATTATATGTGTAAATAATGTAATTCTGAAATGGGAGAAATAGTTACTTCACTAGTAATTTTCATCATTTAAGAGTGCTATTTCTAATTCACAAAGATATTAATATTAAAATTATCTTGAATATACTATTTGTTTACCTTTTTTAACTTAAATTTTGTGTGGTTTTTGGTTTGGCCTCATTCATTGGTCAGCACAGAATTACTTCATTCTTGGATATCATGCGCCTTGATCCCTGTGTAAGGCTGACTGTTAGAAACATGTCTTGGTTGATAATTCTTGGGTCTGGGCCAGTCCTCACACTCCAAAAGAGCGTGGGAACTGCCGAGGCCTGGAGATTCTGGGTAGGCCCATGGCCTTTTCCTTACGGCTGATAGTCCACCCGCTGCCCTTGAAAGCCGAGAGCACACACCGAAAGTTGCCACAGCTCCTGCAGCAGCTCCGTGTCGGAGGTGGCGCAGACATGAGCGCGGCTTCGGGGTTTTGTCCACACGCGTGCATCTTTGTGCTCAGCTTGAATTCTTCGCCCACCTGGAGCTGCTGTAGGAGCTACTTAGAGACAAAGCCTGAATGTCCAAGCAGAAGGGCCCTTCTTAGCTCTTGAAGACTCACCCAGCTGGGCCCTGAAGGCTTTGAGACTAAGCCACCAGGTATCTGCAGCACTTCTCCGAATGAGTCCATTAAACTGGGGGCATGTGGAAGGAGGGCAGGGCTTTGCTGGGTTGGCCGACTTTTTAACAGCTGTGGCTGCAGCAGGGTGACGCTACTGCAGAGTTCACAGCCACGCGAGCCCACGTTCGTGGGAAGCCACTGGCGTCTGCTGCTGCCTGGGAGGCCTCTAGATTCCTCAGCCTTTGGTAGGTGCAACACAGGATGCTAAGACTCGCGATTTCTTCTTTCTTGTTTTGCTTTGTTGGTTTCTGTGTTGACAAGCCTCGGCTAGCCTGGAACTCAGTGTAGCTTAGATCATTATCTCGAACTGGAAGCCGTCTTGCTCTTTCAGCCTTCCAAGTCCCAAGTCCATGGATGACAGACATGCCACTGCCTCGTGGAAGACTCAGTGTAAGGGTCATGCTGTGTGTATAGAAGTTGGAGGACACTTGAGAGTCATTTCTTTTCCTTCTACCATCCACCTTAGGTCATGAGGGCGGGAGGCACCGCACCATCTCACTGTGTAAGTAAAATAACTTATAAATCATATACTCAGATCACATCACAAGAAAGTGCTAGCGTATTTTAGACGTTTCGCACTCCTGTCAGAGTGCTGAGCACACAGGAAAGTGCAGCCCTTTGAAAACACCCGTGAAAGTGGTGGGGAACCGCTCTCGAAATCAAGCTGCAGCATGGCAGCCAGTGATCGCCCCAAACAGATCTGTTCTAGCTCCTCCGACTGCAGGCAGTGACAGGTGGACATGAGGTCAGTGCCAGGGTAGGGGTGCTTGTGTGAGAACTGAAGCGCTGTCTGAAGAGATATTCCAGTTGTACTCCACAGCTCTCAGCACTCAGGGTCCTCAGTCCTTTCCCGGTCTCAGCCCAGCCTGTGTCATCCTTGTCTTCATTTGATCAGCTGTGTCCCAGTTTACCTTGGATAACTCTGCCAGTAAGTAACAACATTTTCTGGCTCTGTTCCTAAGATCAGTCCCTAGACACATGGTCTAAGATGCCTTCCAAATGGTTCAGTAACTGCCCCAAGGCTACAGACACCGCATACAGCGGGTCCTGGAGCCACAGCAAGTGACAGTCAGCATACTTACCTGGGGCTGGGTGAGTGCTGTTCCATGGGTGGGGCTAAGTAGAGGGAAGATTGCGTCATTGCGTCTGTGAGCAGGTTAGGTGGAAGTTAGCATGGTGAAGCTTCTTTGCCTTGCTGTCGCAGAATGCTGTGGTGACAAGTCAAAAATGGGGAGAGGTTGCTGTTCAAATCCTACTGCGTGGGAGAACCCACGGAGAACTGGGCGGCTATGCTAGGCCCACAGGAGGCAGAGACAGCCAAGAGCTTTCCCTCCAGTCCTTTCTGCAGCCTTCTAAGGACGGCTTCTCTGCCCTAACACCTAACCAGGCTCAGGCCAGCTTGCTAGCCTTGCAGCTCCTACAGGCCATCCTGTCATACTGAACTAGCTTCCATCTCTGGGTCCCTTCTGCTGGCCTGGCTAAGGCCTACTGGACTGAGGCTCCTAAAGCATCGGAGAGGCAGGACAGGCCTTCCCTGCTAGGTGCTCTCCTCCATGCCAGGGACACCCGCTGTCCCTGGCTCTGTCCACTCTAACCCTCATATCCAGTCTCCATGCCTGTGCTGGACAGCCATACCTACAGTGCTCCATGCCCACACTGCCCTCTGCTGTCCCACACCTTCCTACAGCGTCACTGCCCTTTGGCTCCTGGCACTGCCCCCTCACACCCACCTGTGGCCTGAGGCTTGGGTCAGTAGCGTCCTGAAGGAAGCAGGTCAGAGATCTGAGAACACTTTCCTGGGAAGTTTCGCTTTTTAAATGGCATAAATTTGAAAAGATAAAACAAGGCAAACTCGATTCCTTTGTTCCACAGGGCTGAGTAGAGGTGAGGCTGCTGCCAAGAGTGCTACAGAGCACACGAGCCCTGGGTTCCAGCCCCCAACACAGCAAAAGCCGAAACAAAAGCTAACAGGTTTAGGAAGGTCTTGTCCAGCTGTCTGACGGTGCTTTTGCTCTGAGTGCACTCAGTACAGTCCTGTACAGGGTTTCCATCCTCCTCCCATAGGCTGTGTACTTGCGTGTTAGCCCAAGGAGGACACCCGGTGTGCCAGGTGCCATTTACTGTCTGCGCCACTCATTCCCCTGAGAGAGAGGCTCTCACTGAAGCTGGAGCTTGCAGTTTGGTTTGGGTCCATCATTGGCCGGAAGGCCCCAGAGACCCTCCTGTCTTTGCCCCATTTGGCACTCTTCCCTCCTCCAGCGATAGGCTACAGGGGTGTAACAGTACCCAGCTTTTTATGTGGACACTATGGATCTGAATTCTGGTGCCCTTCTCACGCTGCAAGCACCCTTACCCGCTCCCCATCTCCCTAGCCCCTCTTCATTTTTCCAGGCACAAGGTGCCCAACTTTCCTACCTGCTCCAAGCGACGCCGGCAACCTGACAACTGGCTGTGCATCTCTCAGGGAGCCTAGCGACTGGCAGCCAACACACATCACTCCAAGCTGGCACTGGGAGGACACCAGAGGCCTGCCCTGCCGGGGGTGGGGTGGGGGCTGTCAGCCCAGCCACCTGCAGCTCTGGAAAGCTGTCACAGAGGAGTAGCTCAAAACACATTTACGTGGAGAACACTGTGATAAGATACTGCATCAGCACCTTACTTAGTGACAGTCTCCAGCATTCCCGTGAGGTACCACGGCCACACCTGCCAGTCCAGGCGGGAGACCCTGAGGTGCACGGTGCACAGCCGCCTCTCAACCAAGCCTAAGTCAGTCATCACAGAGATATTGGTCTTTTATTTGTTTTTTGAGGCAGAGATAATATGAAGGGCTCTTCCTCCTCCACCTCCCCAGGGCGGAATTGCAGGCATGAGCTACCACGCTCTTCTCTGTGGATTCATAGAAGGTCACTTCAAACCCTGACATTATGCAAATGAAATAAACCCTGGAGTGTGGTGGTGGTTTCACAAATATATTAAACTGGAATACTGAGTACAGCTGCTTTGGGGTTGTACACACAAGGCTCCAGGACGTCTTATAGACAGCTGCAAACACAGCACGTCCTGGGCCACCACACAGGGTGAGGAGCACCAGCACACGGTGTCCTCTGGCCCTCCACTCAGCCGCCGAGGCCTAAGCCTGCTTTGGTGCCTGCTCTTGCTCTCCAAGAGGGTCAGCAGGTGGTGTGCTGGTCAGTATTCGCCCCCTTTCCTGTTGATCGTGGGTAGATGATACTGTTTCAGGTGAGGTTTCATGTCCTTCTGCGTGTCTGTCTGGTAAAGAAGAACCACAGACACTGAGTGGAGGCCAGGGCCGGGCCCCCGTGCAGCCCCGCAGAGAAGCTAGAGACACACTACCTTCTTGTTCACACCAGCACACTTCAAGGGCCTCAACACAGGGACTCTTCCGTTTGTGCCAGTGCCCAGCACTGAGCGCAGCGTTGGGCTGGAGCACGAGGACAGTTTGGCCACTCCAGACAGCCTCAGTTTGGGCAGCTCCATCAAGCTGGCTTGCCTTTGTCTTCTGGTATGGCCCTCCTCTTGCCTCAGGGGCTGCTTCTTGAAACAGAACACTGATCAATTCCCGCTCAGGAATCAGGTCAAGGAAAGGACGCTCTTTTGCCTGATCAAACTTCCTAGCCGGGGCGGGGTAGAAACTAGGATGAACAGATGCCCTTGAGCGCGGCGGCGGCAGCCTCCCCGTACCCCACAGGCAAAGGCAGGCCTCAGACCCCATCAAGCACTGGCCCTCAACGCAGCCAGACAGCTAAGCTCTGGCCAACTTGCCGTGAGCTGATGGCGGAGTGCGGGCATAAAGCAGTGCGCCGGGCTGCGGTCCCCTGCAGCGGTCCCCTGCAGCTCTAACTCTGGGCTGCCCTGTTGACCCCAGCAGGCTTTTGTTGGGCTTCAGGGTAAAAATGGTTTCTGCATCTGTTTGTTTGTGATAAGGTCTCACTAAGTAGCCCTGGCTGGCCTGAAACTCAGCCACCAAGATTGAGCTGGGATAAGAGGCGTGTCCCGCCATGCCCAGTAGTTTCTGCATTTTTTAAAGTATTAAAAAAAAATTCCTCCACCTCCCTAGCATGTGAGAGAATGTGCAATACATAGTTGGTGTGCAGCTCCCTGGAACAAGGCTCTGCCACCTTAGGTGCCCTCATCAAAAGCGTGGCTCAGGCCACAGCCAGGAGACCGGCCCCCCCTGCATGTGACTGCACTTTGTGGGTGGGGTGCCATGGAGGGTACCAGCAGACACAGTTTGAGGGCAGAAGGAGGTGCAGCTGAGAGGGCAGTTTGAAGGCCATTTGTGATCATGGGAGCTGAGGGAGCGGAGGCCACCACGTGGGAGGGGAAGCCATGGAGGAGAAAAGGAGGGGGAAAGTAGGAGAAAGTGCAGTGCCCAAGTGCACCTGCCTCCTGGCCTGCAGGGGCAGCTGCCCATAGCACTGGACACAGCAGCCAAAGCTCACACAGACACTGGCTGCTGTGGCCCATGTGATCAGCCATGAACAGACTCAGTAAAGATGGGGGGAGCAAGTGACTGTTAAGAAAGAGGCAGCTAAGAAAAAAAAGAACAATGTTCAGGCAGAGTTACGGTGCTAGCCCCAAACTGTACAGCTGGCAGAACTGAGCAAATGGGTGCTGCCAGTCAGGATGCACCAGGATAGGTGCAGAGAAAGGTGGAAAGCCTGCACAGTGAAGCCGTCATGCCCACAGGAAGAAGGCAGACAACCCCTGCCGGCCAGGCTGCTGCTCCTTTCAGCCCACCACGTTCACCAGCTGTGGCTAGGGGCTACTTTGACTTCTCAGGACCTCCCTGCCAGGGACAGTCTCAGGGTACACAAGGTGTGACCACAAAGGGCTTTGGCCCAGAACAGGTACCTGCACGTGGCCATCAAGTCAGGCACACATGGGAGGGTCCCCTCTCCGGGGTTGCTCACGTATGATGTCAGCCATGGGTCTATAGCTAGTGAGGCAGAAAGGGCCTGGGTAGTTAGGTCCAGGAACTACAGGGCATTCAGAATATTCCTAACACAAGACCACAGTGGCGTGATGTTCAAGCCTTGGTGATGCGATGCCCTGTCGGACAAGCATGTCTCTACCCTCCACAACCTTATGGTGGCCTCCTCAGACACGAGCTGTACAGGAAGGCTTCCAGTCTGGCCCAGCTCATACCTGCTTTCTGCACTCCTTTGAGAATGGCCAGTTGTGACTGGGTGACTCTGGCACCACGGGGTGCTTGGGGAAGCAAGCTTTTCTGTGGCTGGCCAGGGTCTGTGTCTCAGCTGCCCTACAGGGGAGAAGAAGAAAGTGGTCACCTCCGCTAATGGCTCCAGCACTTGGCTGCCTCCGTCTACAACTCTGCCATTATTCAGAGGCTCATCCAGGCTTCTTTCCACATGAGCTGGAAGAGGCCTTTTCTTCCCTTCCTGTCAGTTCAGCCTGGCCTGGGCTGGGAGCAAGGGCTATCTTAACCATGTAGTACTTCATGTGGCCTTTAGGAGTGTGCAGAGGTGTGCAGTTGTGTGCCGGTGTAAGCCCCTCCCACTGAACACTCCACACCTACTTGCAGAGCTAGGTGGCAGACAGTGCCTGTACGCTGTTCATCCTGGATGCATGCCAGGCTCGTCTAAGGGGCTTACCTAGAGCCTTGACGCTGAGCCCAAAGCAGCCACACAGGCCTCTCTCCCCGGGCTAAGAAGCTGCTAACTGCCTCATCTGAGGAAGGACACATCACGGAGACAGTCCCAGGAGGCAATGACCACTGTCAGAATAAAGCTCTTCCCAGGTCAGATCCTTGTCCCATAGGTCTCATGAATTAAGGTTTCCCACTCATCACTAGGCAATCTACCAGAATTCCTACCTTTGCATCTGGAAATAGGGGTGCTGAAGGGCTTGGTGAGCCGCAATTCGTTCATCAGGGTCGTAAGCCACCATTGCACACAGCAGGGAGAGGCATTGCGGGGACAGATTGGCTGACAGTGGAGGTATTCCTGATCCCTTTTTAAAAGGAAAATCAAAACTCATAGCTCTCGACCTGCATTGAAAGCCCAATGATAATAAATCATCACGCCATTATTAGAGTATGGTGGTCACCCCCTGACTCTAAGGGACCCACACTGAAGGTAAGAGCTCACCACCCTCAAAGGGAGGAAGTCAGGTTGGGGGTGCTGCTGCATGCTTATAGTCCTAGCACTTGCGATGTAGAGGGAAGAGTCAGGTGTGCAAGGCCAGCCTCAGCTACATACACTCTGAGGCAACCTGGGCTTTAAAGGGGGGACAGGACAAGAGAACAAGCAATTCTTGACTCCAGGAGAGGACCCTACTGTGCCAATGGCTCTGGGAGATGCTAGTGAGGAGCGCAGGTTCAACTACTAGTTAAAACCTACTGCTCTGAGCCAAAGGGGAGGCTGGGCGGGGGTGGGTTTCTGCATTTCCTGTTCAATTTCACTGTGAACTAAAACTACTCCAAAAATTAATCTAGTAAACAGGGATGTGCATACTATGACTATACAGATTCCCTTGCCTGTAAAAGCAGAAACCTCACCTAGCTGTGTGACTAGAATTAACGGCGAATAGGAGAAAACAAGGTGTGTGGCTTCTCTACTGACCTTCCTTGGAGCAGGGGCTTCTGGGAAATCTCTCCTAGCAAGTCCCCCACTCACTGAAGGCCTCACACAGCTTAATCTATCATCAGAACAAAACTGCAGTGTGGCTGCAGGGGCTGGGCATCACTGTCACCCTCTGACTGAGAACTGGCAGGGCAGGAAGTCATCACAGACAGCCTTTCCGACCCAAGCAACAGTTCTCAGCCAAGCAGACCCAAGTCCCATGAAGTGCTCAGGGGAGAAGCCAAACACAGGCCTTCCAAGAGAGCATGAGGGCTGTCTGCGACTCCAGGGAGAGTGCAGCCCTCTAAGCTCCACAAAGAGATGGCTGGCTCCCCCTTTCACAGCAGAACCCCAAATGGGTGGCTGGCCCAGAAAATGTCATGAGGTCATGGAACTAGCTCTCTGCCCTAGCCCTGCCCTGCTGTAGAAAGGCTGAGCCCAAGCCAGGGAGTCCACCCCAGTCACCCAGGGCATATCACACTTACTGTTTGAACTTGGTGAGGGTCTTCTGACAAGGGGTACCAATGACATCATGGATTTTTGAGATCTGGTCCAGTTCATTTACACCAGGGAAGAGTGGCTGCAGGCTGTAAGGGCACAAGGGATGTCACAGTAAGGCCAGGATGGGCTGCCTTCCGGGCAGGCCTCCCTCCACACGCTCAGTCCATGGAAACAAGCCTAACACACACGCAGGCCCCTAGGCCTGGAGACTGCTACTCTTCCTGTGGCCTGGGCTTTCTCTATGGCCCCAAGTATTTCTCTCTCCATCTCACTCTTTCTTTCTTTCCTTCCTTCCTTCCTTTTAAACAAACAAACAAACAAACAAACAAAACAAAACATGTTTAGGGGGCTGGAGAGATGGCTCAGCATCGAAGAGCACTGTCTATTCTTCTAAAGGTCCTGAGTTCAATTCCCAGCAATCACATAGTGGCTCACAACCATCTATAATGAGGTCTGGTGCCCTCTTCTGTTGTGCAGGCACACATGAAGGCAGAACACTGTATAAATAATAATAATAAAAATTAAAGACTTAAGGTTTTTTTTATTATGTTTATGGGTATTTTGCCTGCATGTGTGTCCGTGCACCGTATGCCCGTCAGGTGCCCAGGGATGTCCAGAAGAGGACATCAGGTCCCTTGGAACTATAATTATGGATGGTTGTAAGCTACCATATGAGAGCTAGGAACTGAACTCAGGTCCTTTGAGGGAGTAGCCTGTGCTCTTAACCTCTGAGCCATCTCTCCATTTCTTGAGAGGCAATCAACAGTCTCACTTCTCAGCCCAACGCCCCGCTGTCTCTACTGCAAATGCCATAAGCCACATAGAGCCTTCTACCAGCTCAGAAGAGTTTGGTGAGAAATTCCAGGTGGCCAAAGTCTTGTCTTGTCGGCAAATGAGTTTCAAGAAGCCTTTCAGCTCAGAGCTGTTCTCATTTGGGAATATGGGTAAAAAAATGAGACCTAAACTGGGCATGGTGGTGCATGCCTTTAATCCCAGAACTCCAGCGGTACAAGCAAGTGGATCTCTGAGTTCAAGGCCAGCCTGGTCAGAGACCTGAGCTAGCCAGGGCTACTCAGAGAAACCCTGTCTTGAAAAAAATTTTTAGACCTGTATGAATAACCCAATCTGTGTTCCATGCCACAAACAAACAAACAAACAAACAAACAAACAAAAAACACAACTCTGGCTGTAGGACTCATTAGCTTTGTGACCAAAGAGGATGTTGTGTGAGAGGATAAGAACAGCTCTGAGGCAGAAGGCAGAAGACAATGTGTCAAAGCCCAGCGGCTTACTAATGGTTCACTCAAGGCTGTCTGGCCTTCTGCGCTCTTGACTGGACATCCTCTAATACCTTTCCAAACTAACTGAAGATGTTAGCACATGACAAAGAATTACCTGTTGGCACTTATGGTCTCAGTAAGGTCCCTCACTGGGCTTTCCAAGTGACATCACTAGTCCATACGCCCGAGTGCCACAGAGTGCCTGAAGTGCATGTCCACACCATGAGTCCACAGCAGTCAGAGGGGCAGGTGGGAATGGTGACCCCGGGGCCCCTGCCTGTGCTGATACTTCACTTAAGATCCATCATGAGCAAAGGCTGTCACCCTGTCCCTTCCCCTCCTGTGTCCTGTTAAGGGGGACAGCACTCACCCCAGGCTGTCCCCAGACACTGTCCTTCTCAGGGATGGGTGTCAAAAGGTTAGAGGAAGAGCAAGCTGGGGCTTTCTAGAAAAGTCCAGTTAGGCCAGCAGGAGCCTCATGCTCACATTGTGGCCGGCCACTTACTCTCATTCCCCATGGTAGGATCAAAGGTGGTGGTACCCTGCCTCTCTTGCTTGTACTCACCTCATGATCAAGCCCCACACCCCAATCCTACCCTGCCATGGAGTCTGCGGGTGCTGCTGCCCAGGCCATGCAAGCAAGGGCAAGTACTTGGTAAAAAGTGAGATGAAATCCTAGTTAGCTGGCTGCTGAAGGAAAGCCCAGGGCAGTAGAAACCAAGCAGAAACTAAAATGACTGCAGCCCAGAGCTTAAAGGAAGGAGCTGGCAAGTGCCTCGCCCAGCTTCAGTGTGTGACCTGGCCACATCACCCTGTGAGGTACCTCAGGCTCAGGCGCTGGCCTTGCTCTCTACCTGGCAATCTCGTAGAACACGCAGCCAGCGCTCCACAGGTCCATCTTGTATGTGTAGAACCCGTCAGTGAGGAGACACTCTGGGGCCCGGTACCACCGGGTAGAGATGTACTCTGTGTAGGGCTGCTTGGAATAGACACTGCGGCACGACCCAAAGTCCCCTAGTTTCAGGACATCCTGCTGCAAGGGAGAGAGAGCAGGATTGGCTCCTTCTCAATCTATAGCCAGGATCACACAGACCATTTCAAACATAAAAACTATGTGGAAATCCCAGCATCTGAGCAGCTCAGAACACACAACGTGCAAGTGTGTCTGGGGGAGAATGAAAAACATTTACAAACTTCCATGTGCTGAGAAGGTGGCTCAGCGCAGGCCAGTCACACCCTCTCTCCCAGCAGCCCCCAAGCATGTGCCCCAGGTGGTACAGGTCTAGCCTTACTGCACGAAGGCTTCTTGCAGCCACGTGGCTCAAGGGGACTCTTCTGATCCAAGTCAATACATGTAGAGAATCCATACCTGGTACTCTTTAAACCTGGGTAGCACAGGAGACTTCAGAAGAAACCTCAAGTTTCAGAAATCTCAAATTTGAAGGGCCTCCAAATGCTCCCTCTCCGAACTGACATTCAGCAAGGAGAATGGCTATTTGTGAGGGATAGCTGTCTGTTGAGCAAAATGGCTCCTCATACTGCATTCTTGCAGGGAAAGTTGATAATGTTGACAGCATTTGCTAAAGCAAGCCTTCTTTTACAAACACGGAGAACAAACCCAGGCCAGGGACTTACCCAGTGAATTAGATTTTTATATTCTGAGTCTGGAGAGATGGCTCTATGGTTAAGAGTATGTATTGCTCTTGCCAAGGACCCAGGTTCAGTTCCCAGCACCCACACGGCAGCTCACAACCAGCTGTAACTCCAGCTCCAAGGGTCTCACAAATCTTGCCTCTTCTCTGAGTACCTACACTTTTGTGCCTACCCACACCCAGACAAACATGTACAATTAATTAAAAATAAAAAACAAACCTAGAACAAATCAAACATTTAAAGCTTTATATTCTACCTTTATTTTGATATTGCTTCTATATAAAAGTTGTTACCTTTACTAGGATATTTTCTGGTTTTACATCTCTGTGAAATATCCCGTTTCTGCATTGAACATTAAAGAAAGAATGAAGAGAATGACTTGCACCTCAGTAATCCAAAGTCTCTGCCTAGAGTCTGCACGCTGCTGGGGAGGCACCCCCTCCCAGCTACCTGTGCATGTGGTCGAGCGATTTGCATAATTGGTACATATAATGCATGATCTTTTTCTCTGATAATGGATGTCTTCTCCCTGTGCAGTCAAGAAAATGGGCCAATATGTTTACCAATGCCAAACACACATACACACACCTTTATGAAATAAACATAAAGCTTTGACTTTAACAGTGTGTTAAGGCCTGCTGGGGTGGCAACACACATCTGTAATCCCAGCATTTAGAAGATAAGAGGCCTGAGGATGAGGGTTCAGGGTCATCCTCCCCTTCATGATGAGTTTGAAGCTAGCCTGAGTTACACAAGACCTTGACTCAAAAAGACCCCTTCCTCTCTAAAAAAAAGAAAGGGGGGGGGGTGACAGCTTAGGTTCCCCAGGGAAAAATACGCTGAAGCACTTTTAGGAAATAGGGACTGTGCTTATACAACACACCATTTAACCCTCAAACCTTCACTCAGTAGTTAGGGGAGGCACAGGCATGGCACCCTATGCATGTACCGGTCAGAGAACAGCTTGTGGGAGCCCCTTCTCTCCCATCGTGTGGCTGCCAGGATTTGGATTCGGGTTGTTACGTTTGGTGGTAAGTACACTCACTTGCTGAGCCATCTCACCAGCCCACCATTTAAAAGCTTACACACTGGCACAACTTCAGCTAGGTCACATGAAGCATAACAGTTCTACTCTAGTGAGAACAGTACTGAGTGCTTGTCAGGGTACCGTGGTCTGACTTGGAGCCTCCCAGGCCATTTCCCCAACATTCGTGTTGCTCTTAAAATCATGAGGAGCCATTTGGAAACCTATCTTCCTAGGCTCTGTGTCTATACAGGAGATACCACATATTTTGAGATGAGATGTGTCTGTGTTGCCCAGGCTAACCCCTAACTTTTGGGCTCAAGCAATCCTCTTGCCTCAGCCAAGCAGAGGCATGCACCGTGATGCCCTTCTGGAGACCTCATCCTAAAAGGAGGAGATCACAGTCCACAGCAGCTGGGATTCAGCTCAAGATCCCTTCATACCCTGTGGCAGTGCTCATACTGGCCACACCTCTTTGCCTCCTACAGCTTTTCAGTATAGTCTAAATTTTTTTTAAGGATTGCATATATATATATATACACACACACACACACACACACACACACACACACACACACACACACACATATATATAGGCAAAGTATGTACGTGCATATGAGTAGAGGTACCTGGAACGCCTAGAAGAGGGCACTGGATATCCTAGAGCTAGAATGATAGGCAGTTGTGAGCTGTCTAATCTGAATACTAAGAATTGAACTCAGGTCCTCTGGAAGGACAGCGCAAGCTCGTCACCTCAGAGACTCTCTTCAGACCAAACTCTCACTTCCCAACAACTGCCAGCATCTCGGTCTACTCTTTTCCAAAGGTGTCACGTTTTACTTGACTTTTTAAACTTTAAAATGACCTTGGTTGTCTAATAGTTCTTTCACTCTTTCCCTACTTGACACTGTTAGCTCAGCTGTATAACAATTGTTAGCAAATAAATTTATTCTCTTTCTCTGAACTGCTAAACAATGATACTTATGTAATAGGAAATAGTTAGCTGGGCAGTGGTGGTGCACACCTTTAGACCAGCACTCCGTGAGGCAGAGGCAGGTGATCTCTGTGAGTTTGAGGCCAGCCTGGTCTACAGAGTGAGCTCCACGACAACCAGAAACTGTCTTGAAAAAACAAACAAACAAACAAAAAGAAATAGTTTAAAGTCAAGCATGGGATCCCATACTTATGAGGCAGAGGTGCAAGAATCAGATTCCAAGGCTAGCCTGGGCTACCCGGTGAGTTTGAGGAGAACCTGAGCTTTAAAAACAAAAACAAAAACCCTGTCTCAAAAACAAGTGTCAAACAAACAAGTGAGAAAAAAGTTTAAGTCATCTAAAGATGGTAGCCTGTAATTGCAGTGCTCAGGAGGTAGAAACAAGACAAGTTCAAGGCCAGCCTACACTATGCAGTTAGTTCCAAGCCAGCCTGAGTTATATAGCAATGCTCTGTCTCAAAAAACCAGAAAATAATTTTAAGATCTCTAGGTGCAATTAACTTTTCATTCAATACCATAATCTTTTATTATATTGTTTCATGACATTATAGCTTCCTAGAATTACAGTTAGAGGCTGGAGAGATGATGGCTCAGCACTGAGAGCACCTGCTGCTCTTGCACCACACTGGGCAGTTGTTTCAGGGGATCCAACACCTCTTCTGGGCTCTCCTATCCACATCCACTCCTTTAGGCACACACACATATAAAATAAAACAAACTTTTAAAAGATAAAAATGGAGATGTGGTGTTACAGACGGCTCAGTGGTTAAAGGCACTTGCCGTTCTTGCAGAGTCCCGGGGTTTAGTTCCCAGCACCCACAGGGTGGTTTGCAACCATGTGTAAATACAGTTCCAAGTACTCTGACACCCTCTTCTGCCTCCCATTTGCTCCAGGCTCACACATGCTGCCCAGACGTATAAGCAGGCAAACACTCATACACAGAAAATACATTTAAAAGTTAATGAACACTAAGATTTTGTTGCCTTTCCTAGGCTTGAGGGATTTTGTAACTTGCCGTGTAGAGAGCCAGAATGTAGCTGAGCAGTGTATCACTTTCAGAGTGTGCTTAGCCCCCTTCACCCAAGCCCAGCTCTCTTCCCTGGCTATCCCTAGGACTCTGTCCTCATGGGAGTGAGGCACCAGAGGAACAGTGCAAGACCAGTCTAGACAGGTCTAGACAGTGAGTGAGACCCACACCCTGGAAAAGGGACATCCACTGTCCACCGTCATCCCCAACAGATCCTAGCCCTCCAGGCCCAGTGTATGCCTGGTTCCTACCAGTTTCTTCTTTTCGAACAGTCTAGAACAAACAAAAAGAAAAGAAGGGCGATTAGTAAACTACCGGAGAACCTTCTGTCTGCTGGATGAGTGATAAATCCAAATGCTGTCTCTCTAACCTTTACAGGTAGTCTTCTGCAAGTAAATCTTCAGTAGTTCTGTCACTCACAAAGCTCACCGGAAGGTCACATACAACTTCAGTACTATAAAATGTCTTAGGCAAGCACTGACACCTTTCACTGAGTCAGAATCATGTGAAGGAGGACTGGCCTATGTTATGACAGGCTATCCAGCGCGTACACTCCCATAAAGGCCCTGTCCTCCAGCCAAAGCCTGGCTCTTTGGTCAGGCATGGAGGCTGCATGCTGAGCCCAGCCCAGCCCAGCCAAATGATCCTCCATTTTGGAGGCTCAGAGGTCACGCCTACAGCATGGATGTGCATAGGCATGCTCCGTGTGATAGGGAGCACCAAGTATCTCACAAAAGGCTCTGAGAGAAAAGCCAGAGGGCTGAGGGCCGGGGGCGGGGGGGGGGAGAGGAATATGACCAATATGACAGACTGGATGCCAGATGAGCAGAGCCTGAACGATCTTGAGCAGCACTCCCTTACCAGCCTGGAAACTCTACGCTTTCTTTGGAAATGGAAGTGTTTCAATTTTATTGAGATTCTGTTTCTTTACCTCTCAAATAGGGCTTGCTCACGGGACAGAAGATCAAAGGCAGAGGCACACTGCACATATAACACTCTGCCTCACACAAACTACACTATACTGTAGACTTGGAGTGAAGTGATGGCGATAGACGGCCACTCAAGACACCTGTGGGTGGGGCACAGCTCTCCATACTTTACACATATGGTTTAAGCTTCAAGGCAACCCCAGAGGGAGGCACTGTGAGCTCTCCGTGAGGACATCAAAAGCACACCGCTAAGCACAGACTCTGACCCACATGCTGTATTGTAGCAATCTGAACCACTGTCCAGAAGCTCCGAACCAACACGTAGGCTGCACACTCTGGAACTGGTGAAGCACAGTTTCACTGGAGAACAAGCAACTGCTGAACTCAGCTACACAACAGCAAACCTACAAGGCTCAGGCAATGCGGCAGAGCAAGAGGGAGAGACTGAGAGACCCAGAGGATGGGTGGAGTGCTGTGGAATGCTGTCTTCCAGGCACAGCACAACAACCACGACACTGCTGAGCCCACAGCAGCTATGACTACCAGCACCAGATTTCCCCAAGTCGGGCCATTAATATTCTGTCAGAGAGGGAAGGGAGCACATGGCCCCACCTCTCCCAAGATCTACAGGCAGTCAGTGCTAACATGTTCTTCAGGGGTGTATCTTCTAGGAAGGTGCCCATGCTCCTGGAGATAACTTCCCACCCAGCTCCTATAAGCAACCCTAATCTCACTGTCTCTCACACAGAAAGACCTAAGACACTGTGATACACATACATGCAAACACACTTACACACATAAAACAAAAATGTTTTCTAACAGATGTGAAAGTAGAAGAAGGGCTAGTTGGGAACAGGAATAGGATTAGTAGGAGTGGGGGATGGACAAAGATGGTGGAGGTGGCAAATAAATTGAAAACACATCAGAGACATGTATGAAAATGTAAAATGAAAGCCATCATTACAGGCTGGAGAGATGGCTCAGAGGTTAAGAGCCTGAGTTCAGTTCCCAGTAATTGTGAGACATGGTGGCTCACAACCATTTCTAATGAGATCTGGTGCCCTCTTCTGGTGTGCAGGTGTACAATCAGACAGAGCATTGTATACACAATAAATAAATCTTTTTTTTTAAAAGGAAACCCACCATTATGTATAATATAGGCCAATAAAAAACCCTAATAGGATGGTGTCATCATTTCAGAAAAAAAAAAAAAAAGATTCCAGTGACAAGTGTTGCTTCATCCACATTCTAAATGGCACAAACTGATGGTCAGGGAAACAAAATGTCAGTCATTCCAAGTCAGAAATTCAAAAAAATACTAGGGATGCTGTAACAAAGATAGCTAATGGGGCTGGAGGGATGGCTCAGTGGTTAAGATGGACACTACCCTTGCAGAGGACCAGGGTTCAGTTCCCAGCACCCAGGTCAGGAGGCTCACAACAGCCTGGAACTCCAGTTTCACTCCAGGAAGCAGATGCTCTCCAAGGGAACCTGCACACATGTGGCTCACGTGTATACACACACACATACAGAGAAATAATTTTTAAAAAGTTTTGTGTGTGTGTGTGGTTTGGGGGGGGGGTTGTTTTTGTTTTCTGTTTTGTCTTTGGAGACAGGCTTTCTCTGTGTAGCCTTGGCTGTCCTAGAACTAGTTCTGTTGACCAGGCTGGCCTCACATTCACTGAGATCTGCCTGTCTCTTCCTCCTGAGTGCTGGGATTACAGGTGTGAGCCACCACTGCCTGGCGCAAAAAGTATTGAAAAAACAAAAACAAAAAAAACCCAACAAAACATAGCTAACATCTATGTTTTCGTTATTGTGTATGTACAGACGTGACAGAGGAAAAACTGAAGGATCCTCTTAATAAGGGTAGAATAAAACCATAAAACCAGCTAAATGCTGACGGTGAACTAGTAACATTTCCGTCCTTCCTGCTGATACATAAGGGATCAGATCTGATAACATCTGTGCTCAGTACAGCAAGACTGTACAAGTTCTGCTGCATCCTGGTGAGCCACACAGTACCAGTTCCTTATGAGAATGATGCAGCGGACTTTACAGCAAGCCAACTCTGTTCTGGCTTCTCCTGCCTTGTGTCATTCTCCCAGTATCAGGAGACTCATTTCAGGATGCCCGTTGCCCACAGCCCCTGAAAGTAACAACCTTAGAGTGACACAGCCCTGCCACTAACCAGAGGCAGCTGGTCTTCTAAAGAGCCATTCTGAGCCAGCCTCTTCCTCTTGAAATAATGCAAACACAGGCTGTAGGCCCTGGAGGGTCTCAGAGTCGAGGAGACTAAGCATTCAGAGGAGGAAGGGGACAGGCTGGGAGCAAAGGCTGTGCAGCACGTTCAGGGGTGCAGCCTCAGCAGCCAGCACCCGTGGTTTTGCTTCCCAGAGACCTGACTGGACTTTCTCCCAGAGGCTGTCTCTCTTCATCAGGAAGTGATCTCCACATAGGGCAATGCTGTGTCCTCTGTATGCTACCTCAGAAGAGCCCAGGGCAGGGACTTATGATGGGGTACCCTCCCCACCAATGCCTTTGTCTGACCCTGCCACAGACAGGCCCAGGTAAGCCTGGGGCTCCCAGCTCTCATCAGCCCTGCCTCCTCTGACACCTGCCGGACAAAGGCCAACAGCTAGTGTGCCCCTTCTTCTCGCTATTTCTGCAGTAGAACACAGGCATCGCGGATGTCGAAAACCACACCACAATGCAGTCTCCACCTGCTTGGATTCTTGCCCAGCCCGGCCCTTGCACATGGTACATGTGAGTGACAGCTCACTAAAGCCAGCATGGTCTTCCCCTGAGCTCCGCGTTTGCTCTTTATTCTGTGACAGTGCTACCGAGTGCTCTGATGGCCAGAGGAAGCGGTCATTGAAGTCACGTGACCTGCTCCTCGCAGCAGAAGCTTCAGTGGCTGAGAACTTTCACTAAGTCATCACAAGAGCAAACAGTCAGGAGAAGTCACTGGAAGGCCTGGCCAGGCTAGGGCACAGAGCAGAGGGGTCACAGGCTCGAGGCCAGGGCCAGCTTGCCCTGCCGGAAGAGCCCCTGGATTACTGCCTAGTCCTTCAAGCCTCAATGAGCTCATATGCAGAGACACTACAGGGCCAGGGGCAGTGTGCTCCTCAGCAGCTTGCACGTGCTTGGCAGCTCTTGAGCCAGGCTTATTTGTTCAAGCCTAGTTCTACCACTCACCGGGTAGACAGCCTTAGGCAAGTTGCTTCTTTCTCTATGCTTTGACTTCCTCATCTTTAGAGTGGGGATATGTACAGCAGACAGGGACGTGGTGGATGCTGGGTAAATTAATGTATTTCTGTACAGATTAAGAAGAGCACCTGGGCAGTGTGAGCAGCCATCGTGGTCAGCTGTAGCAGCAGCCTGCACTTCATCTGCCCACATGTGTTACTACCTCTGGGATCACGGTGCATATTTCAATAATAAATGCCTTGTAAATGCTGCCAGCTGTTTTACCCTGATTTTAACATCTAGGGTGCCTGCTGTGACTGGCTACAACTTAGATTCAGTGCGTACAACAGAGCCCCCAACCTGTGAAAGGTACTCAGCATTCATGTTAAAAGCCACAAGCCTTCTATTAGGCATTTACAGAAAAGGGGCTTGTCATTGTAACACTGATTCCTTGAAGTTCAGAAGCAATTTACAAAGACTGTGAGCTACTCTCAATAACGTAACCACTGGCCAAGTATGCTGGCCCATGTCTTTAATCCCAGCACCCAGCACTCAGGAGACAGAGCTCTGAGTTCAAGCACAGCTAGTCTACAGAGCGAGTTCCAGGACAGCCAGGGCTACACAGAGAAACCCTGTCTCCGAAAGAGAGAGAGAAAGAGACAGAGTGATGAGAGAGAGCAAGAGCGAGAGAACTGGGCTCCTTCCCTGTACACTTGACACCCTCTCACCCTTCAGAACCTCAGGCTCCCTCTTGGTTACTTGCTTTTAGTTGGTTCCAAAAATCGTCCATTTTGGAGACCCTGCAGGTGAGTGAAACACTACTTTCTCCTACAACTTTGCTGGAGGTAACACCAGACAAGTGGATCGTGGTGACACCAACTGCCTACTTGACTTTTTGGGGACCTGAAGGCCACTTTGTGAAAAATCCCTGCCTCTTCACTTGGGCCTGTCAGAGTGTCTGGGGTCGAAAACTTCACCATCAGACCACCCTGACACACATCTGAACTCGTGTCCCAGAAAGAATCATGAAGTTTAATTACCCGTGCTCCACCCCAACACTTTCTCCCACCTACCTCTGTCCTTACAATAGCTCCAGGTCCTGTTTACAGATCTGAGGACTTGGGTGTCCCTCATACCTGGCCACCTTGAGAATAAATTACCTTTTGCAAAACTTTCAGTAACTGGCACCTTGCACAGCAGGCAGATAAGTCATGCCTGTGTGGGTAACTGTCAATGAGTGTTTGTTATCTAACTGTGTCTTTTACAGTCTCTGAAGGTAGATATAGAAAGAAATGCTTCAGTTTCTTCTATTATATAATCCCCCAGCTTCTGAAAATTAAAGATACTATTTTCTAAACAAAGCTTTCTCAAATGTCTAAACACATAGCAACACAGACAACTCTTGTTCCCTTGAGTATAAAGTGTAAATATATCTCACCCTGGGAAGCAAAGTCAGGTTTCTAACATTAAGTATGCGTCCTTCAGACAAAACTGTTGCTAAACAACCAAAGGCTGTGACTGTGCAGGCTCCCTTTGGGTTTTGTTTTTGAGATGTGGTCTCATTAGGTAGCTGAGGACTTGCTCTGAGGTCTGTGGGGCCGCCCTCTGGATCCCTGCCCTGCTTCAGCCAGCTGTACTCTGGGACTGAAGGTGTGAGCTGCCACATCCGGCCTCTGTAAACTCTTTAAAATGAAAATGTTGGAGGTGGGTGTTAAGGGTGGCAAAGCACCAGCTGGGATCTTTCGTCTGGCCTCAGTTATTTGATGGTTAAATCATCTCTGATGCTTTTACCAGTGTCACACACATTAGATAGTGTTCATATGACTCTACAGCAATTTCTTCTTCTTTTTTCATTTCTTTCTCTCTCTCTTATTTTATTTTACTTTTTCAGTATTAGGGATTGATCCTAAGGCCTTTCACATGCTAGGCAAATGCTCTACCACTGAGCCTCTATCTTCAGACCTTTGTTCTGTAACATTTTGAGACAGTCTTGCAACTTAGCCAAGGTTGGTCTTAGCATTCTCCCTTCCTCAGTCTCTCAAGAAGCCTGGATTACAGGTGTGTTCCACCAGGCAGCTGTTTTGCTTGGTTCTGTTTTTCATTTGTCTTCTGGGTATCATGTGACCTATACAACAGACTGTCCCCTATATGGCTTTCTTAGTTGCATTTCATCATGACATCTAACATAACCTTTAATTCAAACTCTCTGGGACATTTCCTCAAAGAAGGTCAAAGCTCTATATCCTGGCACCCTCAGGTCCCTTTGCAAGCATCCAGGGCCATGACAGGTTACCTCAGGCAAGCAAGCTTCCCTCACCAGTACTGTACTGTTCAGAGGGAAGGAACTAAAAAGCACCCTGGAATGTGAGATGTGTCAGGCTCCAAATGCAAAGAGGGAGGATCCCCCTTCTAGGAGAGTCCAGGGGAGAGTTTGGGCTTCTTGGAACCACAGAAGAGAATGCTGAGCAAAGCGGGTAGGGGTTGTGAAACAAAGCACAGCCTTTGAGGAGTCCAGCCTTGTGGGGAGGGCTTGCCTTCAGTATTAGCTTTATCCAGATCCCGGGGTCTCCTGAAGCGAGGGGCCTCAGTCATCTGGGTGCCACTGCAGCACCGCGTACTGCGCACACTTCCCTGTCAGCCACAGCACCACAGTAACCACAGACACATGTAGCCGCAAACATTCGTTACAAGGTCACCTCAGGTTACCTTTCAAAACACTTGACCTACCTCGTATTAGCTCATAAATATTCATGTCCATAAGTTCACATATTAGTGCAAGAGAACCAGATTTTCTGTCACTGCAGAAGAAAGCAGGTTTTAAACACTTTATCTTATCTTAACCAGAAAACATAATCAAGTCTCTTAATATGCATTTGTACATATTTCTGGTAAATAAGGCATTCCCATAAGAGACCATTAAGGCCATAAAATTATTGAAGCAGCACAGATTTTGACTTTAAATCAACATCTAAGCTAAAATTAATCCAAAATATTAAACCTCTAAAGGTAGGCTCTAAAACCACCTTTAAAAAAGATATTTCACAAAAATAGAACATTAATTATCAGCAGAAAGAAGAAAAGAGATTGAAAGTTAAGCAAAAAAAAAAAAAAAAAAAAGAATTTAGATCATGCTTGTGGCTGCATGTTCAGTTTCTCTGTTGGTTTGTTTTGCTTTTAATGGACAGGGTCTCTCCATTATGTGGCTCTGGCTCTCCCGGAATCACTATATACACCAGGCTGGCCTCAACTCACAGAGCCTTCAACTCCCGGAGATCCACCTGTGTCGTCTGCCTCCCAAGTGCTGGGATTAAAGGTGTGCGCCACTACACCCGGCTACACGTTTATTTTTGAATTACCTGTTACTTCAATGTAATCAGGATAACTTACAATAGGGGGAAAAAAAAACAAAACCAGTTAGAGGAGAGAAGAAAGACAAGTGTTGTCACTCACAGGATGTCTGGGTCTGACACTGGGTGGGTCAAAGGCCTTGGCCCACCAACAAGCTTCTCCTGATTTTACCCTGACCAACCCAGGGAAACCACATTGCCCAGGACGCTGCTCTGCACCTTCAGTCTGCCTGGCTGGGCTCCCTCTGCCTATGCAGCCTGTTCTGGGCTCACAGACACTAGCACTGTGCATCCCCCAAGTGAATGCTGGCCCCTCACATGTGGCTGAGCTGACTTCCAAGAACATTGCAGGCCAAGAGGCCACAAAGCTACGACAAGACCTGACATATTGATTTTAAGCTCTGCTGTCCTGTGACTGAAGCTGTTACACTTTAGTTGGCAATGAGTTCCTTCTAGAATTTGACAGGCCAGGCTCCCCAAAAGCTGCAGCATGGCTTCTACACCTAGGCACACCTTCTCAGACTAGCAAAGCTGCACCAACCCACAGGATGGCAGGTCTTGCAGCCTGACTTCCCAGCCCAGTATGTTTAGAAGCCCAATATAAATAAATGTAAATAACTAAATAAACACAGCACAGCAGGGCTGGGCCCAGGGCTGTGGTCCTGCTCTGCCTTACTGATTGACAGGCAGACTTTATGCAAACTATTTTCTGAACAGGAATGAAAAATGTCTTAAAACTATAAATTATGATAAGAAGGGGCTGTGCTTTCATGAGAAAGGAATTCACAGCAAGGCAAGGATATCTGACTGAGCCACAGGAGCCAAGCCTTGAAGGACACGGGCTTTCCAAACGTAGGTACAGCAAAATGAAGGCATTTTCATATTAGGAATGAGACACAATTTGCCCAAATACAAATCTGACATAAGATAAAGTATAACTGTCACTCTCTCAGCTACAAAGCAAATAACCATGATAAAAAGAAATTTACTATTTAGTATCAACTTTTTGACTTTAGGTAACTTTCCAAGCTCAAATATACTTACAAAACCACTTCATGCAACGTAAGAATGTTTGGGTGTGGATTCAGGCGCCTCAGGGCTTGTATCTCTCGTAGATTGTTCACTTGCTCAATACTATTATGTAGGCAAAAATGCACAACTAATTTACAATTAGGTCAACTGTAAAATTAGAGTTATGAAATCATATCTCTTTTCCAAGATTTAAATGTAAAACTTCATTCACTTGTATTTTAGTTAATCAAGTTTAATTTTTCCCATCAGAAATTGAAATTAAGCAATAATTCAGCATACACCTTCATTATCTTACAAAATTCAAGTACTTTGTTTGTTTGTTTGTTCATCTGTTTGGTGCTGGGAATCAAACATGTGCTAAGCATGAAATGTGTGAGAGCCATCCCAGCAAGTCAAGGTTTTGATCACGCAGGGCATGCAGCAGAAGTTTTGTCTCCCCCCCCCCCCTTGTTTGTTGAATACTTGATAAATTTGAGAAGCACATTATCAGGAAAGGCTGTACTGTTAGCCTTCTACCTCTGTACATCCCCGGCAACCTTCTGGCCTCCTTGGGTGAGTGCATCATGAAGGCCACTGGAGTAGCTGGGTTTTGGGTTTATAAATAAATAAACATCACCATGAAGAAATACCTCAAAAAAAAAAAAAAAAAAAGGTATTTGTCTCCCAGCACTCAGGGAGGCAGAGGCAAGCGGATCGCTGTAAGTTCGAGGCTAGCCTGGTCTACAAAGCAAGTCCGGGACAGCCAAGGCTACACAGAGAAATTCTGTCTCAGAAAAAGAAAAAAAAAAGTTTTGTCATCTAGTATCACAAAAAAATTTTTGGTTGTTTCTTTTACATAGTAAAAACACAGAAACATATAACATTCTAATTAAATATGTTGAAAAGACTTATCAATAATGTTACTAAATAAAATTTACTAATCAATTTATGAGAACTAATCAACTAAACAAGGAGCACACTAGCTGAAGTCAGCATCTCAAAGTTCTGGAGACCCTCCATTCTCCTTATCATGAAGAAAGTCTGTGCTTTCCCAGCATTCCATTACCTGGGGACAGGTGTTTTCTGGACAGGTGAGTCTACACCAGGCTTTCTCTAATGAAGGCCACTGTGCCTGACACTGCTCAAATCTCAAAGCCCACCAAAACCAGTGCAAGGGCGTGAGGTTGGCTGCTGCTATCTACAGAAGAGCTCTTTCAAGAGACCACCCCATGATCGTGGTGACAGCTATGGGGTCACACCTAGCCAAATGACCCAATGTTCCAGAGACTTCCATTCTGAGATGCCAAAAGAAACTAGGGATATCTATCTTCCTGTCAGCTGACTGAGTTCTGTTCTACCAGCCTTTCCTGTGTGGAAAGTCGAGCGTGTTGGTCTAGTTACTCCAAGAAGTTATACCTAACAGCATGTTAGTACAATTCTGGTTTTTCCGCAGAAATAAGTAGATTGAACCATGAAAGATGCTACCTGGAAAAAAGGCCCAGGACCTGGACAAAGTCCTACAACTAGCAAGATGGCAGAGCTAGGTATCAGCTGGAAGGCTGAGCGGTCAGCTGCTCTCCCACAGCCAACAGTGGAAGCCTGCTACGCTCTAAGAGTATTTTTGACTATCTGCAGCATGCAGGAGGCCCAGACAGCAGCTGTTCACCCCGGGATGGTGACCACAGCGGCCACACTGGTCCACTCAGGATTTGTGTGTTTCTATACCTACTCGTGGGTCCCAGCTGGGTACCCTTTTCCCACAACAAAAGTGTCCCAATAAATGATTTTAAAACACAGCTTCCTGCTGGGCCGTGGTGGCGCACATCTTTAATCTCTGCACTCTGGAGGCAGATAGGCAGGCAGATATTGGTGAGTTCAAGGCCAGCCTGGTCTACAGAGTAAGTTTCAGGACAGCCAGAGCTACACCGAGAAAAAAAAAAAAATGTTTTATTATTGTTTTTCCCATTCATTGTGTGTGTGTGTGTGTGTGTGTGTGTGTGTGTGTGTGCTTATATGTGTGAGCACATGTATATGCACCTCCTTTATATACATGTCAACTTGGAGAAATCAGTGTTCTCCTTCCACCCTGTGAACTCAGGCCATCATGCTTGGCAGCAAGCACCTTTCCATGCTGAGCCTGAAAAATGTTTTGTAAGAAAATTCCATGTCCAAAACACTTAAGAAACAAGCCCACCCTAGTCCATCCTAGAAGACCAGAATTTAAAGTTGATATTAAAAGTTCCACAAAACTTTACAAAATGAATACAGTGGGTATGATGATGCATACCTTCAATCCCAATACTTGGAATGTAGAGGCAGAAAGATTAGGAGTTCATGATGAACCTCAGCTATATAGTGAGTTCAGCTATTTATGGGGAACAGGAGGCCCTGTCAGAAGAAGATGAAGGGGGAGGAGGAGGAGGGAGAAAAAGAAGGACGAGGAGGAAGAAAGGGAATAGCTTACCTTTAACATGTTCTGAACTTCTTTCGTCTCAGAATCCTTACACACAATCTAGATACTACCCTGTACTATCCTGGGCTTCCAGCCATGTGTGATGGCACTCGCCTTTAACCCCAGCACTCAAGAGGCAAAGGCAGGCACATCTCTCAGTGCCTGGCCAGCCTGGTCTACACAGTGCATCAAGGCCAACCAGGGCTACATAGTGAGACCCTGTCTCAAAACAAAACAACAACAACAACAAAACACAAAAGCCTGGGATTCCAAAGACCACCCCTCCAGACCATCCTCCAAGGGACAGGTGGGATTATTTTTTTGGTGGGGAAAGGAAGGTAAATAAAGGAATTAAGGTGAAAGGAAGAAACAGAAGAGCTGTGTGGAAGCTCTCTGTCACATTCGTAGTGCTGATGGATGATGCTTGCCCTTTGATCCTCCATGTCCCTGGGAAGAAGCCCCCAAGGCTCTTGTTATTATTCGGTCTGTGGTGCTGTGTTTTGGGAGATCTGCATGCAAGCACATAATGCACTCACTGTAATCCCCCATCCTCCACACCCTGCTCTCTACTCCCCTCATATCAGTCTCCTAGACAGCTTCTTTTCTATTTTGGTGTTATACATATATACATAATTGAAGGTATCTACATACATCTAGAAACCACAAATGAGAAAAACAGGTGATATGTCTTTCTGAGCCACTAACTTAATTTGCTTAATACAATTATCTTCAATTGCATCTATTTTCCTCCTGTAAATGACAGAACTTTGTTGTTCTTTATAGCTGAAAAAAAAATCCCTCATGTCTATCCACTCTCTGTTGACAGACACCTACCCTGACTCCCTAACTTAGCTCCTGTAAGTAGCGCTGCAGAAAATACTGATGTGTGAGCATTTCTGTGATGTGTTCCCTTGGAGCTCTTCAATAAACACCTGGAAAGGGTATAACTGTCATATGGTAGACGTAGCTTTAGTTTAGTTATGGGGTTTTTGTTGGTGGTGATTTATTTATTCATTGTTTTTTTGAGAGAGTTTCTTTGTGTAGCCCTGGATGTTCTGGAACTTGCTTTGTAGACCAGGCTGGCCTTGAACTCAGAAATCCATCTGCCTCTGCCTCCCAAGTGCTGAAACTAAAGGTGTGTACCACCATGCCCAACTCATTTTTAATTCATTTTCGAGAAACCTCCATTCTGGTCTCCATAATTAGTAGACTGATTTACATCCCCACCAACACCAACAATGTCTGAGCGCTCACTTTTGTTTGGATCCTCCTCAGCATACATTTCATTATTTCTTTTCTTTCTTTTGCTTGCTTGTTTACTTATTTACTTATTAATTTGAGAGCGGTTCTTACTATGCAGCCCTGGCTGGCCTTGAATTCAGTATGTAGACCAGGCTGCCCTAGAACTCAGAGATCTTCCTGCTTCTGCCTCCAGAATGCTAGGATTAAGGCAAGTGCTACTAGGCCTAGCCAAGGTGTTTTTTGTTTGTTTCTCTGTTTTAATCATGAGCAGACTATGTTCACAAATTGCTAAGATATGAATTTTTGGGGTTAGGGAATGCTGTTCAGTTGGTAGAGAGCCTGCCTAGCAAGCATGAGGCCCCAGGGTGTAAAGGTTGTCAATGCAAAGTAGAGTAAGAGATGGTCTAGTCTGGTATCAAATGTGCGTGACTATGGCCCGGGAACACAGATACAGTTTGGCTCAAATACTATGTTCCAATGCAGTAATATTTTCCTGAGCACTTGCAGTTCTTACAGAGGACCTGGGTTCAATTCCCAGCACCAGTATCAGGTGGTTGGTTCACAGCCACCTGTAACTACAGCTCCAGAGGATCTGACACCCTCTTCTGGCCTCCAAGAGCATCTGCGTACACATGATACCCGCAGGCACTCAGGCCCACATAAATGCACATAAAGTAAGCACACTGGTGTGGATGTCAGGCGGGCCGGCTACAGCAAAGCAGGGGCCTCTGCAGTAGCTGCTCTCTGAGGGCATTCTTACTCTGGTTGGTGGAAGCTAGTAGTCTTTTAGTTTATTCCAAAGAGGAGTTTTCCTGGAGCTGGAGAGATGGCTCAGCATATAAGAGGACTGTCTGCTCCTTCAGAGGTCCTGAGTTCAATTTCCAGCAACACATGGTGGCTCACAACCATCTCTACTCAAATCCGATGCCCTCCTCTGGCATGCAGGCACACATGCAGAGAGAACACTCATATGTAAAATAAAATAAAATATAAAATAAAATGAAATGAAATAAAATAAAAGGATTTTTCCAAATGAAAAGGTGGCCAATGACAGCTATTTAGGAGGTTAACAACCATCTGTAACTTCAGTTCCAGGACACGTGATGCTCTCTTCTGGCCTCTTTAGGTACCAGGCACTCATAAACACAGACATACATGCAGGCAAAACGCTCCCACACATAAACAAAGTAATAATAACAATACAACAATAATAATAGGGGCTGGAGAGATAGTTAAGAGCACTTGCTACTCTTGCAGAGGACTGGGGTTCAGTTTCCAGCACCCACATGGTGGTTCACACCTCTCCATTAATTCCAGTTCCAGGGGGTCTGACAGTCTCTTCTGAGAGCTCTGCAGGCACCAGGCAAGCATGTGGTACATATACATACATGCAGGCAAACACTCACACACATAGAATAAATAAAAAACAAACAAACAACAACAACAAACTAACAATAAAATAACCAAAAGAAGAGAGGGTTCACTTCAATATGGGGGAGTTACCCATTTTCCTCAGAATTTCTTTGGATGTTTAAAATAGAAATTTCTTTGATATAAAAACAAAACTATTGGGCTTAAACCTTCTTATTGCACCATTTCTTGGTTACAATGAGGTCAACAATGACTCCACACACAACCGTTTTTGAGTACTTGGTGTGATGCTCCCTGAGAAACTGAGAAACTACTGTGTGGGACGCAGCCACAGCAAAAGAACCTCACCAGGACCTGGAGAGATGTCTTCGCAGTTAAGAGCACCAACTGCTCTTCCAGGAGCCACGCTCAATTCTCAGCACCCACATGGCAGCTAATAACTATCTCTAACTCATTCAAGGAGACCCAACATCCTCTTCTGGCCTCTCTGGGCGCTGCATGCACATGGTTCACAGGCATACATGCTGGCAAAACACTCATATACACAAAATAAATAATATAAAAAATCATATAAAAAGAAGCATCATCCATAAAAACTACAATTCTAGAATATAATTTCACTTTTTACAAACAGCAGCTGATCTCTCCCACAGAATAAATTTCTCTATTCCTATCTGGAGATTATTTTTCCAATATATTAAGACATTAACTGACTCGTGTAAATAAATTTCAAGGAGCTCTATGACATTTCGCTGAGGTTTTGTTTATAAAGTATAACACACTTTCACAATCCATGTATACATGGGAGCACTGCAAACTTGGACCAGAGACAACCCCCGTGTATTAAACACATTCGCTCAGAATCTTAGCTGGCCACGGATTTCTGGTTACACCTTACACACTCTTAAGTGAATACAAGCTTCCCACGAACATTTAGATGCCTTACTGATTCCAGCCTGTGTCTGTCTAGTCGTCTAGAGCGTGCCTGCTCACATACCTTTCGAAGTGCTGCTTCATTTGCTTACATGCATAGTAGTTTCCGTCTCTCAGGTTCTGCATCTTCATAACTTCAGAAAACGTTCCCTCTCCTATCTTGCCAATTGCTTTGTAGTCTGTAAGTAGAAATAGTTTAATTTACGCAGATATTTCATATGTACTCCCCAGGACAACCTTTCTGTCTCTGCATAATTTCACACTGACACACTGTAGGTCAGTTCTCCCGGCTCCTCTCAGTCCCAGGGCTAAGGCACCACCTCCTGCTCTATTTTTTTAATCATTAGTTAAATTTATTTATTTATTCACTTTACATTTCAAAAGCAGCCCCCTACCTCCTCTTGTCCCAGTCCCCCCCCCCCCCCCCCCCCTCCTTTTCCCCCTTCCCATCTCCTCAAAAAAAAAAAAAAAAAGGAAGATCCCCTACCACTAACCACCTCTCCCCCAACCCCGCACACTAAGTCCCATAAGGACTAAGTGCATCCTAGACCACTGAGGCCCAACAAGGCAGCCCACCTAAGGGAAAGTGATCCAAAAGCGGGCAACAGGGTCCATGCCAGGGACAGCCCATACTCTAATTGCTAGGGGACCCTCATGAAGAGCAGCCTGCCCATCCACTATGTATGGGACCTAGGTCCAGGCAATGCATGCTCTTTGGTTGGCGCTTAAGTCACACCTCCCGCTCTTACAGTGCCTGCTCTCCCTCCATAGGAGGAATGCTATCACTCTACCCCTCCAGAGGTGAGAGGCTTCTAAATGGCTCTGGCAGGAGAGAGAGGGGTGGGACAAGGAATGCAACACTGGGTAGATGTCACAGCTTCTGAGCAGTCTTCTGAAAGTCCCCCTCCTTGGTCCTATAGAGCGCCCAGCCCACATGCAGCCATTTCCCGACATCCTCACACGGTGAAATCTTCTGAAAGCTGCCAGCAGCTGGTTTTGCTGCTGTCACCACTGCTTTAGACAGCAGCAAGCAGGCGGTGAAGGGCTAACCACAGTGACTGCTGCCTGTCCTGGACCAAGTATCCACAGCCTACTGGCATAGGGAAGGTGACAGGGAGAGTCAGGCTGGATATGACTGGGAATGGCTCAGTGGAGAGTGCTTACCTAGTGCAGAAGGCCCTGAGTTCCATCTTTGGTACCACAAAAGACAGAGCCCAACAATACACATGAGCAGATATGGCAGAAGGAAAGTTACCACCCCAGAGACAGAGCTTTAAGGAAGCTCCTGTGAATGAGAAGCAGGGAGAAGCCAGGAGAAAGGCTGGGTGGAGAGGCGGGGGCACAGCAGAGGCAACGGTGAGAAACAACCTCAGAGACTCAGGCCTGGGCTAAGCCACCCTTGGAGCCAGGCTGCATCCACACAAAGCAGCCTTGGCCTGGGCAACCCTGAATTCTTATCACTCATGCTCGCATCCTTCTGTGTGTTTTCAGAGGCAGTTTCTCTGTGGAGCCCTGACTGTCTTGGAACTCACTCTGTAGACCAGGCTGGCCTCAAATTCACAGAGCTCTATCTGCCTGCCTCTGCCTCCTGAGTGCTGGGATTAAAAGTGTGCACTATGAGGCCCAGCTTGAAATTCTTGTTGTTGCTGCTTTTTGTTTTGTTTAAATAATTGTTGTGTTTTTTTTAAGATTTCATTTATTTATAATGCATACAATATTCTGTCTGCATGTACACCTGCACACCAGAAGAGGGCACCAGATCTCATTATAGATGGTTGTGAGCCACCAGGTGGTTGCTGGGAATTGAACACAGGACCTTTGGAAGAATAGCCAGTGCTCTTAACCTCTGAGCCATCTCTCCAGCCCCTTGGTTTGTTTTTTTTGAGACAGGATTTCTCTGTGTAGCCCTGGCCATCCTGAACTTACTCCTAGACTGTTCTGGAACTCAGAGATCCACTTGCCTCTGCTTCCCGAGTGCTGGGATTACAGGCGTGTTTAAATAATTTTATATTATATGTAAGGGTGTTTTGTCTGTCTGTATATGTAAGGGTGTTTTGTCTGTCTGTATGTCTAATCACTGCATGCTTGCCCGGTGCCCACAAAGGCCAGAAGAGACTGTTGGATCCCCTGGGACTGAATATATATGGTTTTGGTGGCTTAAATTTTGTTTTGTTTTGTTTTGGGTTAGGTTCTCCAAGACAGGGTTTTCTCTGTGTAACAAGCCCTGACTGTCCTAGACTAGATTTATAGACCAGGCTGGTCTTGAACTCACGTAGTTCCACCTGCCTGTGCCAGGAGTGCACCACCACTCCCAGCCTTGAAATTTATTTTTGAACAAATCAAATGTAAGAGAAGGAGTTGGACATCTGCTAGAGTGTCCAATAAACATATGCATTCAATTTAGGGCATGCCAACTGAGGAGGAAACCAACGTGATCGTGAACAGCAGCATCCCAGAGACATCCCCACTTCCGGTAGCTGTACTTCTTGGAGACAAGGAGGTGCAACCAGCTGACTCATTTCCGCCCTGTGTGAGCTTTCCACAGTAAGCACACAATGCTTGCTCAGGTAGGAGAAAGGTGCTGGATAGAGTCCACACTTCTGCTCCCAGGAGACATCCCAAGAGATGAACATTTAAGAGACAAAGATAGCTGTCACATGTCACAACAGCAAGCCTAGACTGAAACCTATATCAAGAGCATATCCTAATATTAAGGAAGTATTATGGGACAGCCATAAATTGAAACATTGTATTTTTGTGACTGTATTTCAACTAATAATTGGAAATGTGGGAAAATGTGCAGACATGATGTCAAGTGAAATAAAAAATGGCAATGAACACACATTCTTGTGCATAAGAGGAAACTGAATGCAAGAACCTAATATTTTATATTTACATCCACGCAGGAATAAAGACAACTTTAATCTTCTTCCTTTCCCTTTTCTCTGTTGTTCAATGCCCACAATGAATGTATTATCTCGGATGTTCGTAAAGATGGGTATTTTAAATTCATAAAGATGGGTATTTTAAGTACTAACAGAAAATAAAATGAACTATCTTAAAGGTAAGGTCAATGAACAAAGGTCATCTGTGGGCAGACAGGCTATGGAGGAGAGCTCAACTTTAGGAGGAGGAATCTGACACTAGAAATTCAAAGTGTGTTTCATCACAAGTAAATTAAGCAGGCTTGCTCTGAAAATGAAAAAAAAAAAAAAAAAGAGGTCAACCGTGAACTTTAAGATGGTTAAGTATACAAACTCAGAGTGAGCCAGCACCCTCACTGGCTCCAGACACTGAACCAGCAACAAATTGGGCTGGTTCAAAAACTGAAGCAGATAAAGGGTCACTTGTTTCCCTCTGGCTCTGCTGGCAGACATAGTCTAGAGTATAAAACAAGAATGACAGGTAGGAGAAGAAAAAGCAAAAGAAACCCTATGGGAAAGCACCCAGCACAAGCACCTTTCTCACCAAGGGAATCTGGCCTATTTCACAGGCCTTCAAAGTCACCCAAAAAGCACAGCCTGCATGGAAGGCACAAGGCAAAGCTGGGAAGGAGGGTACGAAGCTGAGCTACTTGTAATAAAAGTCCTGTCCCATGCTAATGGGAATAATCAGCTATCTAGGGAGAGAAACACAAGGAGAGAGTCAAGATCAGAAAAGTAGACCATGGAAGACAGGAGTCTACCTGGACTAATTAAAATTCATTCATTCTTGTTAAATTAAATCTGTGTGTGTGAAATTTGAAAAGTAGAGGTCAGATGTGCTTTTTGCAGAACCGCTGTGAACTGGAGGACAGGTCACACCCGTCTGCGCAGCCAGCTACACAGCAGGGTGAGAGGGCTGGCGGAGCTAACTGAGGAGTAAGGCTGGACTTTACCGGAAAGAGCAAGTCCACCATTCAAACCTTTTTGGGAGATTAAATAGTTCAAACCACCCTACTGAAACCAGACCAGGACTTCAGCTAAGAGCTGTACCCAATTAATTATTTCCTGTAGTAAGCAATGTTGTGACCTGAATTACCAACATGGCAAAAACACAAAAGGACACAAAATTATTCAAAAGCTGATAACCATTTAAATTTAAAACACATCCACTAACCCAGACAATCTGCTACTAGGAATGCATGGCACTGGGAAACCTGCAGCACCCAAGAAAGCATTTTACAAATGTGTAGATGCATACAGAAACCCACACGCTTTCGGAATGGTAAGCAGGACCAAGCATGTCAAGTACAGAGGATGTAGCTGAAAATGTACTGGTTGACTTTATTACAAAGCTAGTGTTGTGTGCACTCCAGGAAGAAAATGGAAAAGGAAGACTGGAGGTGCCCTCAGCCTCTATGAAGGCACTGACAGTTAAGACAGGCTTGGCCTCATGGCAGTGACAGTGGACAGTCTCCAAATCGTCCTGATGAGCAGCCATGCCAGCTGCTTTTTTCAGACTGCACTGGAAAACTTGTTTTCTTCTTTAAAAAAAAAATCTCTGATAGAATAAAAAAATTATTATTACCTTTCAGTATGTACAGTTTTGCTTTTGTTTTTAAGGTATATCTAAATAAGCCATTAAAAAGTTTTGACAGACTGGGCAGTGGTGGCGCACACCTTTAATGCCAGCATTTGAGGGGCAAAGGCAGGCAGGTCTCCTTGAGGTTGAGGCCAGCCTCGAGTAATTTCCAGGGCAGCCAAGACAGAGAAACCTTGTCTTGAAAGGCCAAAATAAAATAGAGTTGGAGAGATGGCTCAGTGGGTAAGATTACTAGTTTCTCGTGCAAAGGAATGGGATCTAGTTCCTAAGACCTATATGGTGGCCCATATATCTGAAGGATTCCTGTTTTGGCCCTCCAGGCACTAAATACACATGATATGCAGACATACATACAAGCAAAACACTCAAATATATAATTTAAATTTTTTTAAATTAACCTTTACATGTATAATTTGTTTTTTTATGATGTGATTGTTTTTAACTTTTCTTGAGTTTTTGTTTTTTTCTTTTTTTAAGTGTATGTGGTGTGTGGGAGTGTGTGACAGAGAGAGAAAGAGGAGGAAGGGAGAGAAGATTCTAGAGAGAGAGGGGGAGGGAGGGAGAGGACACTCGAGGTGGGAAGAAAGAGAGGGACAGGATGCCATAGTGAGGTGAGAAGCACCTCTAGTGTTGGTCCTTCTCCGTAGTTTGTGGCATGGTCTCTTGTGTTTACCACTGCATATGCATGACCTGCAGGCTCTTTGGGAATCTCCTATCTGACCCATCCCACCGTAGGCATGCTGGGATTACAGGTACACACTACTGCAGCAGACTCTGTTTTTTGAGCCAGTGATTCTCTAGTAGCTTTGGCTGTCCTGGAGCTTGCTTCTGTGAGCAAACTCACAGAAATTCAACTGCCTCTGAGTGCTGGGAATGAAGGTGTGGACCCCACCCCCCAGCCCACACTAATCTTTCTTAAAGGGAAGAATATAGTGACAAAAGACTGTATTTCCAGTACTTGGAAGAAAGAAAAAGAAGGATTGCCCCAACTTTGAGGCTACTTTGGTCTATATAGGACAGCCAGGGCTGTCTCAAAAACAACAAACTAAAAGCAGAAAAATTCAAAATAAAATGAGTATGAGAGGTAGATACACATACAACATACAGAGAACACAGAGTGGTCGCCTGTAGAGACTGGCGCGCACAAAGGATCTAAGAGGCAAAGGCAGAGAGACAGGGTAACCAAACCATCTCTCCTAACCAGTAAAACCGTAATAAGCTGACATCAGGCCCTCTGGAAGGAAGACTGACAGAGACACATCACCTCCCGTGCTCTGTACAAGGGTATTTTGTAGAGGAATTTCAATTCAGAACATGGCTGCTGGGCAAGACGTCACATCCAAAGACCTAGGTCCATGTGATCTGGGTAGAATACAAACAAACCTTTAACCAGGAGACAGAGAGGCAAGCAGATCTGAGTTCAAGACCTGGTATAGAGCAAGCATCAGATAAAGAAAACATTAGGTCCAGGCATAGTGGTACATGCTCTTAATCCCAAACAATGAAAGTAAAGTTAGTTTGTGGTAGGAACACCCATGTTTGAAAGAGTTATCTAATTGAGTGGCAGAAACAGTGAGGAATCAGAGGAAGCCTTGACAGAATAGGATACGCCCAACTGTCATAAGGAGAGAGGAAAGGGAAGCTACTTAAGGGGCAATGAGAGAGGAAAGAGACAGTTTAACAGGAACATAGAAACAGGCTGCAGAGTTCTTTCTACTCAGGTGAAGACAAAATGAGCCAGAGAATAAGAAGGAGCCAGAAGATTAGAAGATATTGCTGGAGTTAAGTTTGAGGCCAAGCAGAGCAATTTAGATGCCAAGATAAAAGCCAGATTGAATAGATTAGTTGGGAGAGGAGTTAGAGCAGAAACAGCTGAATTGAATGAGTCCAAAGCTGAGTGAGAACAAGAAGGGGTGAGCTTGTTCAGCAGTAAGTCTCAGAGGCTGAAAACATTCTAGGCCTAGGTTAGATTGTATGGGGCTAGAAGCTTCCGGGACTAGTCCTGGGTTAGCAGATAGGTAAAAAGCCTCAGAGACAACAACTGAAGCAAGAGAATAAAAGTTCTTTTTACAGTACTTAATTAAACTACTTAATTAACCAGGAGAAAACCACTAGATGAATCCAAATTGAAAATCAAAGAAATCTGACACAAAGATATAATTTGTGATGCTGATTGGATCCTAGAAAAAAAACTGTAATGGACATTACTGAGGAAAGACAGAAATAGGGACTGTATATTAAAGAACAGAGGAGTTGTGCTAAGGTGTTCATTTCCTAAATATGTTTGCACACGGGTAATGTGTGTATTAGTATGTGGTGATAATGTGACCGTTGACTGTGTAGGAGAATGTCCTTGTCCTGTGTGGGGGTGAGTGTTCACAGGCACATGTGTGCCCTGGTGTGCATGTGGAGGTCAGAGACAACCTCGGGTGCCCATCTTCATTTTCTGCCTCAGACAGGAGGAGCCCTGAGCTGCCATGTCCCTGTCAGAGTACTGGGATGACTGACAGGGCGACTGCCTCTGGCTTCCTGCTGGGGCAGAGGGGACAGAACCCTGTGAGCTGTCTCCTTAGCTTCAAGTCCCTGGGGCCAAAGTAGGTACTTCCTGAATCAATAGTGGTGGAAATGTCATTATGTCCACAAGGAGCTCAGTGAAAACACACACACACACACACACACACACACACACACACACACACACAAACAAAACAACAACAAGAAAAAAACAAAACCAAATACGTATGTCAATTAAACAAGAATACCAGAGCAACACGAGTACACAAAAATAAGACAAAACGATAAAGATACAGAAGTATGCAACCTGCCCTTCTAACTCTTGTGCACATCTGCAGACGAAATACTTGGAGAGGAAATGATGACTTCTGAGTAGCATGTATGTCTGAGCGTGCACTAGTAAGCAAATGCGTAAAGATTTGTGTAGGCTGTGTATTTTGATTGCAGCTTTCTGAGGCCTTGAGGAAAACGCAAACATGCTGAACATGGTAGCACACCTTGGAAGATGGAGGCAGGAGGATCACAAGTTCAAAGCCAGGCTCAGCTACATAGCTAGTTCAAGACCAGCCTGCCCTAAAGGAGATCCTGCTCTCAAAGGAAAACACCTGAAGACGAAATGATAACCTTATAAGCACTATCGGAGAGAAGAAACGAATGTGCCTTATAAAGGGTAAATGAGATGACTTGTTTTTAAAAATGTTATGTAATGAATGGTACCTAGAAATTGCGGCACAGCAATTAAGACATAGTGTAAATTTAATAGCATAACTACAGCTAACAGACTCCAATCTTCACAGCAAGAGGAGCCGTCATCTTTCTGCACTTCAGGCTACAACTACAAAAGGCAGTCATAACGGCACAGCTTCGAAAACCAAACGGCGGTCCCAAGAAAATCAACCGGGCTAGCAGTCGCGTTCGGATCCTAGGTTACCCACAAGCCCGGCAATAAGCCAGTTTTTCCGGCCCTTCTGTTTTCTGGAAGGACTGCCTCGTTTAACCAACTTCAAAGCGACCGTTTTCCATTCCCTGAAAGGACGCTTCACAAACACCACTGCCTAAGCCCAGTGGGAAGCACTCGGCCCGGCTTCCCTCTCCAACGCGTCTCAGCCGCCGTCCCCCAGGGGCCGGGAGCCCACCGGGAGCGCTCGGAGCCCACAGCCGAATGCTTGAGACTGTTGGGTGCGATCTAACCAACGAATGAATGAGTGGGTGAACGAATGAAACCACACTCAACTCCCCAAACTCCCGCACACTCGCCTGGCCCAAGGTGCCTGAGCCGGACGCGCCGCCCCGCAGGCCCCGGGGACCCTCGGCCCTCCCCGGCCCCACTCACTCTTCATCCTGAACGCGGATGACGGCGACACGCCCAGGTCGGCCGAAAAGAAAAGCGGAGACTGTGGCACCGGCCTTCTGCTTTCCTGAGGCGGCTTCCGGCTCGAGGACCTTCGCGGTGGTCCCTGGCTGAAGAGCGTTAGGACCTGGCTGCCATATTGTGTTCCTGTCGCCCTAGCAACCACCAGCCCTTAGGAGGGAGGAGGAGGAGCTCCTGGGCCACCGCCCACGCCTGCGCGAGAGGGCGCCCGCTGCCCGTTTACGCATGCGCAGCGCGACCTGCCTCCTCAGTTTGGTCGCTAAGCAACCTCTCTCCTGCTTTAAATTTAAGTACAGTTTCTTACCTTGGTGAGTAGGCGACCTTGGCAGGCTGCCTCTTCCAGCCCTCCTGAGAATGTAGCAAAGTGCCACCTGATTCGAGAACAATGTCCTTGAGCTTTAACTGTTCTTGCCAACATCTACAGTTGAGCATCTGTCCAGCCTGGTTTATAGCGACTGCTAGGTAATTTGTAAGTCTTACTTTTTAATTCAGCAAACATTTTTTTGCTACAAGCACTGTTGCAGGCATGGGGTAAAATGAAAAGCAGTGTAGACAAGATTCCTTATCCCAAGTGGTCGCAGTGAAGACTAAATCAGAAGTCCGTATCCCCTCCTCACTCGCCGCCCCCATTCCCCCACAGTGTTCCACCAATTCCTTGGCTGGCTGTTGCCTGAGGCCTGACAGGGTCGCTCCCACCGCGACTGCTCAATAAATGTTTGTCTAACAATCAGGAAACATCACCTCTCTGTCATTCCTGTCTAGGGACAAGCCTGATTTGAAGCGGTTATTGAGGATCCATTGACAGGTAGATGGGAGAAATGCTTCGCTGACTTGGGCTGTAGAAACCATATGTGCTGTTGTTGAAGTCCCAGAGTGGTAAAGGGGTTTGTCAAGGTCACCTACTGGTGGCCCCTGAACTCAGACACCAAACCACGGCGCCTGACTCCCTGTGCTTCTGCTACATCCAGGAGAAACTGCAAAAAGGGTTTCAACATGTACACATTTTATGGAGGATGTGCTTTAGACTGATCCCTGGAACAACTGATTTGTTTTAGCAAATTAGAAGCAACATCTGAAAAAACCTTCTGTTTGACTGTCTTTTTTTTTTTTATTGTCTAACAGTTTTGATATCACACATGCTGTGCAATGAAACATTTAAATTCTGATTTCCCTTTTTGTTTTCCACTTGTGCCCCCCCCCCGCCCCAGAGTTAACAAGCAGGAGTTCAGTTTCTACAAGGAAAACGTGCTGCCCTCCTTGTGTCCAGGGCCTTACCTCAGAATTTTAAAATGTAAAAAGAAAGATAGAAGAGGAAGACGTGGACAAAGCTATAACCCAGTGGTTGAACACAGGTTTAGTGTGTGCAAGGCCCTGAGTGGGCCCACTAGCCACTTAGAGGCAGGGGCCATCAAAGAGAGAATAAAGCCAAGAGAATCAGCTCTGAGCACTCTGAGGACTAGAGCTCCAGAAAAAGCGAAAGAGATAGAGATGAAGGCAGTTATGGGCTCTCCCACACAGCGAGATGTTTGCCTTTAGTCCCAGTGGGGGTGGCATGGAGGCAGGTGGGTCTCTGAGTGTTCAAGGCCAGCCTGGTCTACACAGTTCCAGCTATGCAGACTTCGGAAAATGCTTTCATCCCTGACCACTTCGGTTTTCCTGTAATGTGGCTCTTTCCACAGTTGCAGCATTCAGACCTTCTGCTATGGAAGCAGGAGTCACCCCTGCTGTCCCTGCTGTATGTAGCCTGTCTTCATCCATGGATGAAGCTCTAGCTCCCAGTGTGACAGCCTCGAGGCAGACCTACAGAAGCACAAGGCTGGGCAGTCAACAAACTGTGGTGCTCAACTGGTCTTCAGAGCCACTGGCCAGCTGATTATTGCTTTTTCAATAGGTGAAATGTTTTACCTCATATATATATGTGTGTGTGTGTGTATATGTATATATATGCTATCACAAACTTCTTTCATTTATTTATTTATTTGGTTTTTCAAGACAGGGTTTCTCTGTGTAGCCGTGGCTGTCCTGGACTTTCTTTGTAGACCAGACTGGCCTTGAACTCACAGAGATGCACTTGCCTCTGCTCCTGAGTGCTGGGATCACAGGTGTGTGCCACCACACCTGGCTTACAAATGTCTTTTAAAGGTTTATCTTATTTTTAGCTAAGTGTATGTCTCTGTCTGCAAACATGAGTGCAGGAGCCTGAGGAAGCCAGAGGCATCACATCCCTGGAATCTGGAGCTACAGGTCATTGCTGGAACATGGACTCCTGTCCTTTGCAAGGGCAGCACCAGCTCTTAATCTGACTCCTCTCCAGCTCCCCACCCCCCGCATCCTTCACTAGATGTGCTTGCAGAATGTGCAGCATGTTTTCAAATCCAGAGTCCCGAGGAACACTTAGCACAGCGGGCTTAGCATTCCAGATTTCTGGTGAAGGCCTGCTCAGCGCCTCTACTAGCAGTGTGCACGTGGGCTCTCTACATCAAAATAGTCACACCATCATGAAGATCATGAAGCGGGAGGGTGGTGACAAGTCCTTGAAGCGATAAGGAGAAAAGCTCTGTCTCCCAAAGATGGGTTCTGGCATGGCATTGAACATTTCACGGGCCTTGAAAGACAGAGCACTGTGGCCTCCAATTGCTGAGTGACTTTCAGTCTCTATTCTAGAAGTCTCCACTTACTGATCTGAGGGCAGAAGCAAAATGTGATCACATACAAGGAGGATTCAACCCTTTCCAGGAGCTGCCGACAGATGATGGACATCCAGAATCCAAATGAAAGGTGAGTGATCGAGGCGAACCCCTGGGGCTGGGAGGAAAGAGACTCAACACAGACCAGGAGGAAAGGATTCAAAACAGGAGGATGAAGGTTGGGGAGATGAGCTGGGCATGGAAAACAGCCAGCCCAGATGACAGCAAGAAGCTCTGGAGGGAAATCTCTGGCTCAGAGCGACAAACACAAACCAACACACTGCTCTCTGGTCTCATGTATTTGACTGTTTCAAGAAGGATTCATCAATCAATGACTCTTATAGAGAAAACTAAGCAACGAAACACAGGGCAACACAAAAAGCTCTACCAGAAAGAAGTATGTGGCTAGGGGTGCGCTCACTTGGTAGTTTGCTTAGCCTGTAAGAAGCCCCGGATTCTCCAGCGCAGCAGCATAGAGTCAGCCTTGGCAGTGACTGCCTGTACTGCCAGCCACTGGGAGATGGGAACAGGAGGAACCGTTAGGCTAGCTAGGAGTATGATCTCTATCTCAAAAAGGGGACAAATGAAAAATCAGGAACAGGTCTATTTAAAATGCTGCAAATAGCTGAGCACTGGTGTCAGACATGCCTTTGCGGTCAGGGAGGCAGAGGCAGGTGGATCTCTGTGAGTTCGAGGCCAGCCTAGTCTACAAAGTGAGTCCAGGATAGCCAGAGCTACACAGAGAAACCCTGTCTCAAAAAGAAAGAAAGAAAAAAAGAGAGACAGAAAGAAAGAAAAAGGAAGGAAGGAAGGAAGGAAAAGAAGGAAGGAAGGAAGGAAGGAAGGAAGGAAGGAAGGAAGGAAGGAAAAAAGAAGAAAAGAAAGGAAGAAAGAAAGAGGAAGGAAGGAGGAAGGAAGGAAGGAAGGAAGGAAGGAAGGAAGGAAGGAAGGAAGGAGCTTCATATAAAGACACACATCCACACCCTTAAGAAAATTTTAGACCCCATTTATTTAGCTTCCTGGCTTCTGAGTTTCGTGGGTCTCGGGTGCTCCCTAGCGCTCATTATTAGTCACTGCGGCTGGCGGCGTCCCTTTCGCTAGGTGGGTTCCCCTGCCAGTTCCGACCCTTCCCTTGGGAGTGTGAGCTAGAACTCGCAGGTTCTGCTGAGGTCGGCCTGGCTGCGGCCTTCTGGAGTGCCAGACGTGATGGTGGGAGAAGAGTCATCTCATAAATCCCGGGAGGTGGAGCAGGGACGCTGTAAGCAGACTGCAAAGAGGGCCGTTGGGAACCTGGCGTCAATGACTTTCTGAAATCTGGGGTAAAGGGAGTGCAAGAGTCACTTGGCCTCGACCTCGCCTGCGCCACCTTGAACTCCTGACCCTCCCCTTTCGTCGGGAGAGCCCCACCTCGCACAGGTTGGTTATTTACTGGCTTGCAAAGACAGGGTCTGTCTGAAACTTGCCTCTGCCTGACAGTGAGCCACCTCTCTGTGGTTTTGCGAAGTCTGTAAAGAGGTACTATCCTGGCCAAGGGGTGGCCAGATACTAAGAAGTTACCATCACTGTATGATACTGTCCGAACTTACACTAAACTGCCGGGGTGGGGGGTGGGGTGGCTCAGTCTTTTGTTTGTTTTGTTTCTGAGAAAAGCTCGTCTTGTTCATTCCGGGCATTACTGTACTTAAGAACGATGGATGACGGCATTTTGGAGCCAGCGTGGTGGCCCGTGCTCGTAATCTCTGTATTCGGGAAGTCGAGGCAGGTGAATTGCTAGATAGGTTAGGCGTGTGGAGACCAAGCTGAGCCTCCCCTTCCCAACACCGGCTGGCAGATGCTCACTGAGGTGGACCAGGAACGCAAGCTTCCCGCAGGCACCGAGAAAACGAGGAGGGGGCTGCTGCAGAATAGCTAAGAACATGAAGGAAGCCAAAGAAAAATCCAGGAACATAGTGCCAAGAGATGTGGGCTGTTTTCGTCGAGAGCTTCTACTTCTGGGTCTGAGTCCAGTCAAAAATACATCTTTAAGAGTAACAAATAAATAATCAGACCTTGAAAAAGAAAAAGGTAAGAAAGAAGAAAGAGAGAGAGGAAGAGAGAAAGAGAGAAAAAAGAGAAAGAGAAGGAAGGAAGAAAGGAAGAGAGAGAAAGAAAGAAAAGAAAGGAAAGAAGGAAGGAAGAGAGAGAAAGAGAGAGAGAAAGAAAAGAAAGAAAGGAAAGAAGGAAGGAAGAGAGATAGAGAGAGAAAGAAAGAAAGAAAGGAAAGAAGGAAGGAAGAGAGAGAGAGAGAGAAAGAAAGAAAGAAAGAAAGAAAGAAAGAAAGAAAGAAAGAAAGAAAGAAAGCGGGCTTGCTTGAGAGCCACGGGCAGGAAGCCAGGGTCCCAGCAGCTGCTGGGTTGGACGTAGCCGTGCTAAAGGCGTTGGTGCACTGCGTGTCTCGCTGCGAAGATTTTCGGGGCTCTGACCAGGAGTATCGGAAAGCTGCCTTTCTGTGG